TGAGCCACCACACCTGGCCACCTGGCTGTTTTTAAAAAATTTTTTTGAGAGATAGGGTCTCATTCTGTGGCCCAGGCTGATCCTGAACTCCTGGGCTTTAGTGATTCTCCTGTCTTGGCCTCTCAACGTGCTGGGATTAAAGGTGTGAACCACGGCGCCCTGACAAAGGAGTCTAACATTAATTCCATCTGCAAAGTCTCTTTTGCTAGGTCATTTAACATACACAGGCATAATACCAGGGATTAGGGCATGGAAATCTTTGTTGCCTGTTTTTAGTCTACCACAATAAGTATTTAATCTAGGAACAGAAAAAGAATTTTGAAGTGCTTAAGGATAAAGGAACAATTCCAAATATTCCAGGTGTAATTTTGCCCCTTTCCCATTCGAAAGTGGATTGGAATTCAGCTGTACTAGTCATTTTACTATGGCAGTAAACTAAATCTGTGCTAGTTTATGTTTTTTAAGTAAATTATTCACACCCTTTGATACTTTCTTACAGGTTGAGCTGTGTAAATTGCCAATATTTGATTGTTTCTGACTACAAAGAAAACAGGAATTTCCTATAGTTTAACCTACTGCTAGTAAGTTAAGACATACCTGACATTAATTACATCTCACAATTGATGATTTAACTATTTTACTTTCTTTTTTTTTTTCTTTTTCTCTGGAAGTCTTGGCTCTTCTGGGTGATTTAACTATTTTAATAGATTAGAGAGCTAATGTTCTGGGGTGAAGAATTTCTTTGTTTTTGTTTTTGAGACAGAGTCTTGCTCTGTTGCCAGGCTGGAGTGCAGTGGTGCGGTTTCAGCTCACTGCAACCTCCGCCTCCTGGGTTCAAGCAATTCTCCTCCCTCAGCCGCCCGAGTAGCTGGGACTACAGGTGCGTGTCACCACGTCCAGCTAATTTTGTATATTTAGAAGAGACAGGGTTTCACCATGTTGGCTAGGATGGTCTGGCCTCATGATCTACCCACCTCAGCTTCCTGAGGTGCTGGAATTTGAAGGCGTGAGCCACCGTGCCCAGCCCAATTTTTTTTTTAAACAAGTTCTGGCTCTATTACCCATGCTGTAGTGCAGTGGCACAATCTGGGCTCACTGTAACCTCTGCCTCCTGGGCCTAAGCCATCGTTGCATCTCAGCCTCCCTAGTAGCTGGGACTATAGGCATGTACCACCATGCCCGGCTTATTTTTGTATTTTTGTAGAGATGGGGTTTCACCATGTTGCCCAGGTTGCTCTTAAACTCGTGAGCTCAAGTGATCCCCCTGCCTCGACAACGTGCTGTAATTACAGGTGTGAGCCAGCATGCCTGCCCCAAAGAATTTTTTTCTTCAAAAAGTTTGTATTGGGAAATGACTTACCTTGATAAAAAGCAGTATTTTCTCTTTCTTTTCTTTTCTTTGACAGAGGTTTGCTCTGTTTGCAGTACAATGGTATACAATGTTTGGAGTACAATGGTGCATCTCAGCTCACTGCAACCTCCACTTCCTGGGTTCAAGCAATTCTACCTCAGCCTCCTAAGTAGCTGGGATCACAGGCATGCATCCATATGCCTGGCTAATTTTGTATTTTTAGTAGAGATGGGGTTACTCCATGTTGGTGAGGCTCGTCTTGAACTCCTGACCTCAGGTAATCTGCTCACCTCAGCCTCCCAAAGTGCTGGGATTACAGGCGTGAGCCACCGTGCCTGGCCAAAAGCATTTTCCAATCATAAGCATATATATTATGTCTTCCCAATTTCTATATGACTTTTTTATTTTCTTATTTTCACTCTTATTGTCCAGGCTGGAGTGCAGTGCCACTATCTCAGCTCACTGCAACCTCCACCTCCCAGGTTGAAGTGATTCTTATGCCTCAGTCTCCCAAGTAACTGGGATTACAAGCACATGTGACCATACCCAGCTAATTTATGAGACTTTTTTTTAAGTTTCAGCTTTTAATAAAAAGCTTATTGTTCTTCCCATATCTATGTTTAGGAGAGAATGCTAATTGCCTGACCCAATTATCTGTTCTCCCTTTTTGGCTTTGTGTCAGAATCCCAGAATTCACTCAGGTTAGCAATATGCTTAGCTTTCCTTGCAGATACATGTGGTCATATGACTAAGTTCTGGCATTGACATGGAATAAGAAATGCTGAGTTGTGGGGAAAAAAGAGGCAGAAAAAAACAAGTGCTGAGTGGTGCTTCTGGGAAGTTTCCTTAAACTTAAAGGCTTAAGAGGAAGCAGGTGGGCTTATCTGTTTCTGCTGAAACATAGATGTGGTAGCTAGAGCTCCAGCAGGATTCTTAGACTTCAAAGTAACCTTGGAAGCAGAAGCCATGAATGGCAGAGCAGCAATAGAGAAGACTGGATCCTGATATGTGAGATTACCCTGGACTGCTAAGAGTAAAGGGTTAATAAAACCCTTTTTCTTTCTCCCTGGTGAAATGACCTGAGTTTGCCTTTCAGCACTGTTTCTCTGGAAACCTACTAGGCAAGGTAATAATGGAATGTCAGCTATAATATTAGGCAGTATTGTTTATGATTAAAAATGAGCCCTTAGCTGGGCGCCACAGCTCATGCTTGTAATCCCAACACTTTGGGAGGCCAAGATGGGTGGATCACTTGAATCCAGGAGTTTGAGACCCAACCTGAGTGGCATGGCAAAACCCTGTCTCTATAAAAACACAAAATTAGCTGGGCATGGTGGTGTGTGTCTGTAGTCCCAGCTACTTAAGAGGCTGAGGCAGGAAGATTGCTTGAGCCTAGGAGGTGGAGAGTACAGTGAACTGAGATCACGCATGCCACTGTACTACAGGGAAAGACCCTGTCTCAAAAAAAAAAATAAATAAATAAAAAATAAAATAAATGAATTTGTGGTAATTTGTTACTATAGAAATAGGAAATTAATACCAAACCCTCTTACATTGCTCATGGGAACTTAAGTGGTACACGTGCTTTGGAAAACAGTTTAGCAGTGCCTCAAAACATTACACTTAAGAGTTAGCAGGCTGGGCACAGTAGCTCAGGCCTGTAATCCCAGCAACCCAGCCTCGACTAAAAATATAAAATTAGCCAGGCATGGTGGCATATGCCTGTAATCCCCGCTACTTGGGAGGCTGAGGCAGGAGAATCGTTTGAATCCTGAAGGTGGAGGTTGCCATGAGCCAAGATCAGGACATTGCACTCCAGCCTGGGCAACAAGAGCAGAAAACTCCGTCTCAGAAAAAAATAAAAATAAAAAAGTTGGCATATGACCCTGCAATTTGACTCCTAGAGAACTGAAAACATATGGCCACACAAAAACTTGTACACCAATATTCAAAGCAGTTAGCCGGGTGTGGTGGCATGGGCTTGTGGTCCCAGCTATTCAGGAGGCTGAGACACTAGAATTGCTTGAACCTAGGAGGCGGAGGTTACAGTGAGCTGAGATTGTGTGACTGCACTTCAGTGTGTGTGACAGAATGAGGCTGTCTCAGAAACAAAACAAAGCAAAACAAAACAAAAAAACAAAGCAGCATAATCCATAGTAGCCAAAAAATGTGAATCACTCAAATGTACTTCAGTTGGCCGGGCATGGTGGCTCACACCTGTAATCCTAGCACTTTGGGAGGCTGAGGCGGGTGGACTGCCTGAGCTCAGGAGTTCAAGACCAGCCTGGCAAACATGGTGAAACCCTGTCTCTACTAAAAAATATGACGATCATTAGCCAGGTGTGGTGGTACACGCCTGTAATCCCAGCTACTTGGGAGGTTTAGGCACAAGAATTGCTTGAACCTAGGAGGTGCTGAGGGTGCAGTGAGCCTAGATCACACCACTGCACTTCAGCCTGGACGACAGAACAAGACCATGTCTTAAAGAAAAAGTACCAAACTGATGAATGGATAAACAAAATGTATATCCATACAAAGGAATATTATTCAGTCCTAACAAAATGGAATTACCGATCCATGCTACAAGACGAATGAATGTTAAAAACAGTAAGTGAAAGAAGTCAGACACAAAAGGCCACACATTGCACAAATCCATTTATATATATATTCAGAATAGGCAAATCCATTGAACATAATGTAGATTATTGGTTGCCAAGGGCTGCCAGGAGGGGGCAGTGGGGTGTGGACTGCTGTGTGTGTGTGTCTAGGGGGTTCTTTTTGAGGTGATTAAATGTTCTGGAATTAGTGGTGATGTTTGCACATCTCTGTGAATACACCAAAAACCACTGAATTGTATACTTTAAAAGGGTAAATTTCATGGTATGTGAATTATGTGGTAACTTGAAAACTGAAGAAAAATCACGATCAGCAGTATATTTTTTATTCAAAGCAACCACAGGAGAAAGAAGTATATTTTAAATGCATCTTTTATGTACTAAAGCAACTGTTACACTGATCGCACAGTTGTCAACAGTGCCCATTTCACATTAATGTTTTTACTAATTATGTGAGTACCTACCATGCAATCAATCTTTCTAACGCCCTGGGAGTCCCTTAAGAATAAAATCTAGTTTCTGAATACCTGATTCCAGGTATACACACTAGCGTGTACATGAAACTGCGAGAGTCTTAGGTTACTTTTTTTTTTTTTTTTTGACACGGAGTCTCGAGCCGTCGCCCAGGCTGGAGTGCAGTGGCGTAGTCTCGGCTCACTGCAACCTCCGCCATCCCGGTTCAAGCAATTCTTCCTGCCTCAGCCTCCCGAGTAGCTGGGATTACAGGCGCCCGCCACCACGCCCCGCTAATGTTTGTATTTTTAGTAGAAACGGGGTTCACCATGTTGGCAAGGCTGGTTTCGAACTCCTGACCTCAGGTGATCCGCCCGCCTCGGCCTCCCAAAATCCTGGGATTACAGGCGTGAGCCACCACGTTCGGCCAGTGTTACTTAAAAGTGTTACCTCGCACTTGTAATTCCCGGGAAAGAACGGGGGCAAATATTTGTAGCCAAGGGAACAGGGCGCGATTCCAATCAAGATGGCCGCCAGCGTCTCTAGGCACCCTCGGCGTGGCCGTCCCTGGAAGTGGCGTCACGTGGAGCTTCCGGTTCCGCCTGTTCCGGCGCACGTAATCGCCAGGGGCACGTGCATTCACCCAGTTAAGCGTTGCAGGTAGCGGTAGCGATGGACGCTCTGGATCGAGTAGTGTGAGTGCGCCGGGTCTCCGCCCCGGGGAACGTTAGGGTGAAAGGGTCCTGTGATGGGGTGGTATTGCCTCGGCCTCTCACCCTTCCTGGGTCACCTGTCTTCTTGCCTGGTTGGGGTCCAATCGATCACCAGTCAGGGTCTTCCTCAGCGCGACCTGCTTGCCAGGGAACCGGGGAAGCTTTCAAGTGGGGACCGCGTGATGGGAGGTGGGATAGAAGCGTTGGCCGCTTTTATCCTAGCCAGTTGAGAAACGTCTGGCTTCCGAAGTGTGAGACAGATGGTAGAGTGAGGGGTTAAAAGCACAGCCCTCAGAATCCGACAGATCTGGGTGACAGTCGGCGCGTCCATTTAAAGCGCTGTGACTTTGAGTCATTAAATGTCTCTAAATCTCAGTTTACTCTGTAAAAGAGCCCTCATCATAGTCATACTTCATAGAGCTGTGAGGGTTAGTTTCGAGATTATATGTAGAGCTTTTGCTGCAGCACGTAGAAATGTTCATTGGTTTTCTTTTCCTTCCAACTTTGTACACTTAGGTTATCCTTGAATGATACCTGTTTTAAATTTGTTCAGGAATATTTATTGTGCTAAACAGCCCTGCTGTTATTTGCTGTGGTTTTCTTGCTATTTACCTAGGTCAACATATATCCAAAACGACAATTGTAGCCATTCATTCAGAGATTTTGCGCACCTGCCTCTAGCTGTTTGGACTAGAAAGAAAACTAGTTTACTAGGTATTGGGACTAGTTTACACTTTAACTGGGGACTAGACAGCTTATAAAATGTTAATTGCTATTTGCATTTGTTGCTGTTAAAAGATAGAAATAGTTTGTATCTTTATCAACCGGTAAATGATTAGAAACTTTATATGTGACATTATATCTGGAGGAGGATTTTTCGAATCTACATGGGAAACTAAAGTGTGTGTATTTTCTCTTTTTTTTCCCAAAGTGTCTATGGGACTGGACGAGGGAGGGTCATAATTATTTGAGAGGAGGAATTCTTCCAGTAGATGGCAGAGACTGTCTGAAAAGCAAGGTGCTCATTGTAGAGGAAGCAGAGGTGAAGCCCATTTTTTGAACAGAAGTGTATAAAAACATGCCACTCCTACTGTCACATCATAAAGTCAGAATAATGAATTTATTTTCCGTTCATATTTTACAGGGTAATTGGTCTAGATGAATTTTTAAATCTAGCTTTTTAAATTTTTTTTTAAATTTTTGAAACAGGGCATCTCTCTGTCACCCACGGTGGAGTGCAGTGGCCTGATCACAGCTTACTTCAGCCTTGGCCTCCCTGAGATCAAGCAATCCTACCTCAGCCTGCCAAGTAGCTCAGACTATAGGCGTACACCATCACAGCTAGTTATTGTATTTTTTTAGCTCAGACTATAGGCGTACACCATCACAGCTAGTTATTTTATTTTTTTGTAGAGATAGGGTTTTGTGATGTTCCCCAGGCTGGTCTCGAATTTATGGGCTCAAGCAATCTGCCCACCTTGGCCTCCTAAAGTGTTTGTATTGCAGGCTGTGAGCCACCACCCACCCCTAGCTCCTTTTAAAGATTGGCCTGTTTACTTGCTGTGTGATCTTGGGCACATTACCTGTCTGTTCAATTGCCTCATCTGTAAAGTGAACTCTTAGGATCGTGGTGATTAAGCCTTAATAGAGTGACTCCATGTAAACATCAACCTTATTATTCCCTATTGTTGGCATTGTTGACGTTCACAGCCATGATGTTGGAGTGTAACAGGTGTATACTTCCTGGCAGGCATTGTGGTCTTAAACCTGAAAGAAGGCTAAGCGGTCATTAGTCTTATGTTTAGTAAATGTCCACAGGTTGATCAGCAGTTGATGCTCAGTTCTTTGTATTAGGGTACAGGATGCAGTTAGTTTGAAGAAGAAAGAAGAGTAAAAATAGTGACAGTATTTACTTGATCCCTTTATTTTTTACTTAAAAAAGATTTGAAAAAGAACAGTAATAAAAGAACGGGAATAGAAAAATGAAAGCTTTTCTTTTTAAACTAACAAAACACTTATTTAACAGTAATAATGACATATCTTTTACTAATATCTCCCAAAAAAGTGAGCTTTTGGCCTGGCATTGTGGCTCACGCCTGTAATTCCAGCACTTTGGGAGGCTTAGGCAAGTGGATCACGTGAGGTAAGTAGTTAGAGACCAGCCTGGCCAACATGGTGAAACCCTGTCTTTACTAAAACTACAAAAATTACCTGGGTATGGTGGTATGTGCCTGTAATCCCAGCTACTTGGGAGGCTGAGGCAGGAGAATTGCTTGAACCCAGGGGACGGAGGTGGCAGTGAACCGAGACTGTGCCATCACTCTCCAGCCTGGGCAATAGAATGAGACTCTGTCTAAAAAAAAAAAAAGATTTTGTTTAAGGGTGGAATCCTAAATGAAAAATATGTTAGGCCAGGCGTGGTGGCTCATGCCTGTAATCCCAGCACTTTGGGAGGCCGAGGCGGGTGGATCACGAGGTCAAGAGATCGAGACCATCCTGGTCAACATGGTGAAACCCCGTCTCTACTAAAAATACAAAAAAAAATTAGCTGGGCACGGTGGCGCGTGCCTGTAATCCCAGCTACTCAGGAGGATGAGGCAGGAGAATTGCCTGAACCCAGGAGGCGGAGGCTGCGGTGAGCCGAGATGGCGCCATTGCACTCCAGCCTGGGTAACAAGAGCGAAACTCCGTCTCAAAAAAAAAAAAAAAGAAAAGAAAAGAAAGAAAAATATGTTAATGTCTCATTTAAAAAAAAAAATCTCAGTTTTTAAGAATTTGGATATTCATTAAGTCATGGCTTTGCAATGTGAGGAAAATGTTTAAATAGTTATGAATTGTGCTTTTCTAAACAGAAAGCCCAAAACGAAAAGAGCCAAGAGATTCCTTGAGAAGAGAGAACCGAAACTCAATGAAAATATTAAAAATGCCATGCTGATCAAAGGGGGAAATGCAAATGCAACAGTGACACAAGTACTTAAAGATGTGGTAAGTATATATACTTAATCTTTAAAAGGTATTGAAGTCATTTTAGAATTTTCAGCATGCTGGGTTGGGCTGCCGGATAAATACATAGATAAACTTGCCTTAAGAACTACTAGTCTTAGAGAAGAGCTAAAGTTGAGGGGTTATTGACCTTTCGAGGCACCGACTACTAGTTTTTCTTAAAGCAACTAGTTTTCTTAGTAAATTTTGTTTTATTTTATTTAGTAACACAGGTGAGTCTGTTAGGGTAAAGGTCTTTCTTAGTACATATAAACTGTTTTCAGTTGCTAGAATTTGGCTTACATTTTAGGAAAAAAATTCATAAAGCAAAATAACTGCATATTGCTGTATATTTAGTCATTCAACACCACCAGTTACTGTGCTAGTGCTGCAAATTAATAGGTGAGACACAGTCCTTTCAGTGAGCTTAGAGAGATAGACGTGCATCGTGCTATACTGGAAGCATGGACAGGGTAGGATGGGAAACAGTTAAAATCACGTGGGGGACCTCTGCACAGGGAAGGTTCCCCCAGAGATAACACTTCAGCTTCATTTTGAAGGGGAAGTTGGAGGAAGAAGTGGGAGAGAAAGAGAAGACCCTCTGAGGCTGTGAAAGTTTATGCAAAAGGGAGTATGAAGGAGCATTGATGCATTTGGAGAACAGTAAATAATTGAGCATGGTTAAAGGATAGTGGGCTAGAAGAGGAGGCATGGGTCATATAGTAACATGGAGTTTGAATCAATCTGAAAGCTCCATGTAGTCATTGAAAGATATTAAGCAAGAGATACCATCAGTCCTTTTAATTGGCTTGATTAGAAAGGGTTGAGAGCAAATGTAGGAAACTAAGCCGTTGCTGCCAACCAGGTGAAGAGCATCTGGAGTCCAGTGGTGGCAATGAAAATGAGAAATGACCAGAAAGAATAGATGTTGAGGGTAGAAGAGTTGGGAACTAGTGAGAAGTGTGACTTACAGGATTTTGGAATGAGTGCCTGATGGGCAATAATGCCAATTAGAAAATGTATCAAGTGGGGGAGGTTTGGAGGGAAAGGTGAAAGGTTCAGTTTGGGACATGTAATTTAAGTAATGAAAATAAAAGCTTTGTTTTTTTCTACCTCTGTAGCCTAGTGTCTAGCCCAGTGTCTGGACCTAGTAGGTACTCAATAAATATGTAATCAACGAATGAAAGGCATAGTGTGTGGAGACATCTAGTAGGTTATTTGACTATTTAGGCCTTGAGTACAGCCAATAGATCTTTGAATTAAATTAATAAATCAAGTAATTGAATACATTTTGTTGTTGTTAATGAGATGGAGTCTCTCTCTGTCCCCCAGGCTGAAGTGCAATGGTGCCATCTTGTCTCACTATAACCTCGGCCTCCTGGGTTCAGGTGATTCTCCTGCCTCTGCCTCCCGAGTAGCTGGGACTACAGGCTCATGCCACCATGCCCAGCTAATTTCTGTGTTTTTTTTGAAGTAGAGATGGGGTTTCACCATGTTGGCCAGGCTGGTCACGAACTCCTGACCTGAAGTGATCCACCTGCCTCGGCCTCCCAAAGTTCTGGGATTACAGGCGTGAGCCACCACGCCTGGCCTTGAATTCATTTTTTTAAACTTAACTAAACTCTGTGCCTGATAAGCATAGTCAGTTCAGATGTCTGAATGTCTTATGTATGCCCATCCCTTTTTTGAAATGTTTGTCTCAGTGTCATTGTGTTGATGGGACACTGGCCCTCTCCTTTCACTATCCATCAGCAAAATGACCCTGCATCTTTAAGCTTTAAAAGCAGCACAATAAAGGCCAGGCCTGGTGGCTCATGCCTGTAATCCAAGCATTTTGGAGGCCAAGGCGGGCGGATCACCTGAGGTCGGGAGTTCAAGACCAGCCTGACCAACATGGTGAAACCCCGTCTTTAAAAATAAAAAATAAAAATAAAAATAAGAATAAATAAATAAATAAATAAATAAAAGCAGCACAATATTACAGATTACTACAATAATTAAAATTCATCATGATGACTCTGAGTTATCAAGAAGAGATAGCAATATTTATTACACAGAAATAGGGAAATAGTTGGCCAAGAATCATTGAAAGTTTTAGTACTTAAAAAGGTAGATTTTACTGTTGCATTTCCTTTGTTCACAAACTGATAGTTGATGAATGATCTCTGTACCTTATTTTTCATTGTTTTCCTCATTTACTCATTTCTCTAATGCAAGGTAGTACCTGATGATATCTTTGTTATTCTCTATGGTAAAGCAGTACTGACATACAAGTAGTAAATGATTATAGGCCAGGTGTGGTGGCTCACACCTGTAATCCCAGCACTTTGAGAGGCTGAGGTGGGAGGATTACTTAAATCTAGGATAACAGCCTGGACGACAAAGTGAGACCCTATCTCTATAGATTAAATTTTTAAATATAATAAAATACAGCCTGGTCAGCATAATGAAACCCCATCTCCACTCAAAATACAAAAATTAGCAGGGCACGGTGCATGTGTCTGTACATGAGAGGCTGAGATTGGAGGATCACCTGAGCCCGGGAGTTTGAGGCTGCATTAATCTTTAATCACACCATTGAGCTCCAGCCTGGGCGGCAGAGTGAGACCCTGTCTCAAGGAAAAAAAAAGAATAATTATTAGTGGATGGTTAGGAGTAGGAAATTAAAAAGAAGAATGTTGAATAATGGGCATTTTTTAAAGTGCTGTGTTTAAACTCTGGCTAGTATTCTGATTGTCATCATTGTGACTGTTTCTGAGTTTTCTTATCTCCACCCAACAGTGTTTCAGTCTGTCAGCCTTTCCTCATAGAATTTAGGTTTTGTGGTTTTGTCTGCTTTTTTTTTTTTCCAAGACAGGGTCTCACTTTGTCACCGGGGCGGGAGTGCAGTGGCGTGGTCACAGTTCACCACAGCCTTGACTTCCTGGGCTCAGATGATCCTCCCACCTCAGCTTCCCAAGTATCTGGGACTACAGGCATGCATCACATCTGGCTAATTTTTGCAGTTTCTGTAGAGGCAAGGTTTTGCCATGTTTCGCAGGCTATTCTCGAACTCCTGGGCTCAAGCGATCTGCCTTGTCTTCCCAGTGTTGAGATTACAGGCGTGAGCCACTGCACCTGACATTGTTTCCCTAGAGAGAGAATGGACTAAGTCAAGTTTAAAGAAATGAAGGAAATTGTTTAAGTTTGATACACTATGGAAAGGGCATAGAAACCTTTATATTGATAGTCTAATACGGGAATGCTAAGCTTATGTCACAAGTTATTGTAAGTGATCAGAAGGGAGCCAAGCAGAAGGCATCAGAACCAGATTCAGGGCCCAGAGCAATGTTGTAGAGTGACTGTTATGATGCTTATTTTTATTTCTGCTTTTCAGAATGTATTTTGTTTTGAAAACTATAAATTTTGTTTTACAGTATGCACTGAAAAAACCATACAGTGTACTGTATAAAAAGTAAGTCATGATTTCTTTTACTGTATTTTAAATGTTTTGTTTCATTATAAAAGTAACCACTTTATGGAAGATTTGGAAAACAATTTTTTTAAAGATACTAAAATTCCTTACAGTTTTTAATATTATAATTTTTTCTTTTGATCTTTTTTTCATTTATATTGAATGTCCTTGCATAGTTGTAACCGTAGCATATATATTGTATTTTGAAATAATTATAAATTTACAGAAAGGTGCAAAAATGACGAAGAATTTCTGTATACCCTTCACCTGGCTTCCCCTAATGTTGCATCTTGCATAACCATATGGAGTGATCAAAACTAAGAAATTAACACTGATTCACTCATGTTAATCAAATTACAGACATATGGTTAGCACCAGTTTTTCCTTTTTTTTGACATGGAGTTCTGTTGTCGCCCAGCTGGAGTGCAGTGGCATGATCTTGGCTCACTGCAGCCTTCATCTCCTGGGTTCAAGTGATTCTTCTGCCTTGGCCTCCCATGTAGCTGAGATTATAGGTGTGGGCAGCCATGCCTGGCTAATTTTTGTAATTTTTTAATTTGAGATGGCGTCTTGCTCTGTTGCCAGGCTGGAGTACAGTGGCCTGATCTCAGCTCACTGAAACCTCCAACTCCCTGGTTCAAGCAGTTCTCCTGCCTCAGCCTCCTGAGTAGCTGGGATTACAGCCACCGCATCCAGCTAATTTTTATATTTTTAGTAGAGATGGGATTTCACCGTATTGGCCAGGATAGTCTCCATCTCCTGACCTCGGGATCTGCCTGCCCTGACCTCCCAAAGTGCTGGGATTACAAATGTGAGCCACCACGCCCAGCCCAGTTTCTTTTCTTTTCTTTTTTTTTTTTATTGAGATGGAGTCTGGAACTATCACCCGGGCTGGAGTTGGCGTGATCTTGGCTCACTGCAACCTCCACCTCCCAGTTCACTCAATTCTCCTGCCTCATTGTCCCGAGTGGCTAGGATTACAGGCACACACCATCACACCCGGCTAATCTTTTTATATTTTTAGTAGAGATGGGGTTTCAGTATGTTGGCCAGACTGGTCTCAAAGTCCTAACCTCATGAACCATCTGCCTCAGCCTCCCAAAGTGCTGAGATCGTAGGTGTGAGCCACTGTGCCTGACCACTTTTTCTTTTAATACTCTTTTCTTTTCCAGGATCCCATGTTGCATTTAGTTTTCATGCCTCCTTAGCCTTCTCTAGTTTGTGACAGTTCCTTAGTCTTCCCTTGTCTTCGATGACCTTGACATTTTTGACAAGTACTTGTCAGTTATTTTGTAAATTATCCCTCAGTTTGGGTTTAACTTTTCTCATGAATTGATTGAGGTTATGCATGTTGTGAAGAACACTACAAAAATGTTGCACTTTCCTCATATATTCTTCTGGATTATAATCCCGTGTTCTTAATTTTGTTGCTTAAAATTTTCTACCTTTGGCAATTGGGAACTCTTTTTTTTTTTTTTGAGACAGAGTCCAGCCCAGGCTGGAGTGCAGTGGCGCAATCTCGGCTCACTGCAAACTCTGCCTCTTGGGTTCAAGTGGTTCTCCTGCCTCAGCTGGTTTCGAACTCCTGACCTCAGGTGATCCACTGGCCTTGGCCTTCCAAAGTGTTGGGATTACAGGTATGAGCCACCACACCCACCCGGGAATGCTTTTAGATTGGTTCCTGTGACCTTTCAACATGCCCCCCGTTTTTGAGTACTTCCTTACTTTCTGACACCACAAAATACTCTGGATTCATCTTGTCTTTCTCCTTACCACAGCCCTGGAATAAGCTAGTCATCCCTCAGTAACTGTGGGCGATGGGTTCCAGAAACCTCCCCTTAGATACTAAAATCTGGGTATGCACGTCTCTTACATAAAATAGCCTAGTGTTTGCATATAACTCATGCACGTCCTCCTGTATACTTCTTTTAAACATGTACTTCCCATAAAAGTAAGTCACGTATACTTTAAATCATTTCTCAATTACTTATAATATCTAATATAATGTAAATGCTGTGTAAATAGTTATAACGTGGTATTATCTGGTTTTTCTTGCTTTTTTTTCTCCTTTTCAAGGATACTATACTATCTTTTTATTTCTTAGTTAACTTTTTTTTTTGAGACAGGGTCTCACTGTCACCCAAAGTGGAGTGCAGTGGCATGATCATAGCTCACTGCAGCCTTAACCTCATGAGCTCTAAGTGATACTCTTGTCTCATGCTCCCAGGAAGCTGGGACTACATGTGCACGCCACCACACCTGGCTAATTTTTCTTTTTTGTTTTTGGTAAAGGTGGGATCTGGCTTTGTTGTCCAGGCTGGTGTTGAACTCTTGGCCTAAAGTAATCCTCCTATCTCAACCTCTGAAAATGCTGGGATTATAAGTATGAGCCACTGTGCCTGGCTAATTTTTATTTGAACACCATCTTTTTTTTTTTTTTTTTTTTGAGACAGAGTCTTGCTCTGTTGCCCAGGTTGGAGTGCAGTGGCGCTATCTTAGCTCACTGCAACCTCCAGTGCCTCCCAGGTTCAAGTGATTCTCCTGTCTCAGCTCCTGAGTACCTGGGACTACAGGTGCCCACCACCACCATGCCCAGTGGTATATACAAAACAAATACAAATTTTTGTTTTTTTTTAGTAGAGACTGAGTTTCACCATATTGGTCAGGCTGGTCTCGAACTCCTGACCTTGTGATTTGCCTGCCTCGGCCTCCTGAGGTGCTGGGCTCACACCTGTAATCCCGCACTTTCTTCGTCTGTCGAATACTGTCAGTCTGTGGTTGTTCAAATCCATGGTTGCAGTAGGATGCAGAATCCATACGGACAGAGGACTGTATTTTTCCACTAGAGTATAAACTCCATGAAAGCCAGCATCTTGTTTCATGTAGTAGTATGAGATCACTAGTTACTAGAATGGTGCCTGGCATATAATAGGCACTGAATAAATATTTGAATTTGTTATGAATTGAATGAATATTTTTTCAGTTTTTTTAATCTCAATACAAAATTACCTTATTAATTGTATATACTTGAGATTATTAAAATTACGGTCACTTTTTTGATATTCTTAGGAAAAATATTACAAGACCTTTTGAGGATCAGACATCACTGGTAAGTAAAAAAATATGATTTGAGAGAGCATATAAATAGTAATTATCCAGACTAATTCATTTGTACTCCAAATTTGTGATTTTTTAAAATTAAGTCATCCTATGTGAGGAAATTTTTATGTAAAATGGAGAGGAAATACTTTAAAAAATTTCCCTATAGATCTTTCATTTCACTATGGCTGGGAAGTGTGTTATTCATTGCCTGCATTGATAACATTTTTTATTGATAAAATTTAAAAAAATTGAATTGCATTTAGGCCGGTCAAGGTGGCTCACGGCTGTAATCTCAGCACTTTGGGAGGCCGAGGCGGGCAGATCATGAGGTCAGGAGTTCAAGACCAGCCATAACAACATGGTGAAATCCTGTCTGTACTAAAAAACAAAACAAAACAAAAATTTGCTGGGTGTGTTGGTGTCTGCCTGTAATCTCAGCTACTCAGGTGGCTGAGTCAAGAGAGTCGCCTGAACCTGGGAGGTGGAGGTTGCAGTAAGCCAAGAAAGCACTCCAGGCTGGGTGGAAAGCACCACTGCACTCCAGGCTGGGTGACAGAGCAAGGCTCTGTCTCAAAAAAAAAAAAAAAATGAAATTTCATTTAAGTAACTTAATGAATTTTTAAAAGAAGTTTGCTATAGATCTATTTTTATAAAGCAACTTTGAGTTTTTAAAAATAGACTCTTCCTTCAGATATTTTTGCTTTTTTTTTTTTTAAGACTGGGTCTTGCTATGTTGCCCAGGCTGGTCTCAAACTTCTGGGCTCAAGCAATGCCTGTTTCCCAAGTAGATGGAACTGCAGGTGTCTACCACACCCAGCTTGGATACTTTTAAAACAAAGAACACTACCTGAATTATTGCTAACAGATGTCACTTGTTTCTCTAGAGTTAATCAAAAAAATTCTTGTTTGAGTATGTAGTCAACCAAAGCTTAATGAAAAAGACTAGGAAGTGAAATCAAAGGTTGTTTATAGTAAATGAGGAACGATGAATGGTCTTTCAGTGTGTGATGATATTGGTTTCTTTCTTAAGAAAATCATCAGGGGCTGGACACAGTAGCTCACGCCTGTAATCCCAGCTTTTTGGGAGGCCAAGACAGGAGGATCGCTTAAGCCCAGGAGTTCAAGACAGGCCTGCACAACATATTGAGACCCCATCTCTATTTATAAAATAAAAAATAAAAACAATATGATTATGTTTTCTTGATAGGAACCCATCATTTATTTTGAAATAAGGTCTGGCTCTGTCGCCTAGGCTGGAGTACATTGGAATGACCTCGGCTCATTGCAGTTTCCACCTCCCAGGCTCAAGCCGTTCTCCCACCTCAGAAGCAGGAACTGCAGGTGCACGGCATGATGCTTGGCTAATTTTTGTAGAGACAGGGCTTTGCCACGTTGTTGCCCAATCTGGTCTTAAATTCCTGAGCTCAAATGATCTGCCTGCCTTGACCTCCTAAAGTGCTGGGCTTATGGCTGTAATTATACCCAACCAGAAACCCATTATTTGTTGTTTTTTTCCTTTTTTTGTTTTTTTTGAGATGGAGTCTCACTCTGTTGCCCAGGCTGGAGTGCAATGTCGTGATCTCAACTGACTGCAACCTCCGCCTCCCAGGTTCAAGTGATTCTCCTGCCTTAGCCTCCTGAGTAGCTAGGATTACAGGCACGTACCACCATGCTCAGCTAATTGATTTGTATTTGTAGTAGAGATGGGGTTTCACTGTGTTAGCCAGGATGGTCTTGATCTCCTGACCTCATGATCCTCCCACCTGACTTTTTAATGTTCCTTTTCCTTTTAGTTATCAAATTTAAAAGAAAGAACTTTTGCATAAAATCTCAATGATTAATTCGATTAAATCAAATATCTTATTGTAACTAACTGCAGTGAAAATTAAGAAAAGTATTGATAAAATACATTTTGCTCAGTTTTTTCAAATTACTTTGTCTCATGTTTTTTATAATCATTTGTTGAAGAGATCACAAAAGTAAAAATGTGAGATTTATCTCAATTCTCTCTTACAGAAACCACTTAATCAAGGCCTGGTTTTGTCTTTTGATACCGTAATGCTTTTAGTTGCGCGACCACTTTGCGGTAGTGTTATGTAGTGAGTTCTCTGGCACTTTGAACTTTTTTAGTCTAGTGTTGATATGACAGCTTTTCCTGTACTTGAGGTTGTGACATTCCCTCTCTTTGATCTCCTACCTCCAGATACAGGATATATTTGTTAGCTCTATGAATCTTAGTCCTACAGAGCTAAAAATGGCTAGGGAAAGAGTGGTTGTGTTACAAATAGTGGTCAATTGTCTTTTTCCGACCCTCTCCACACATTTCTTTCACCACAGTCTTGGAGAAATGAGCTTTGCTGTTTTAGAACAGGGGTTGGCAAAAATATACTTCTTGCAGACCAAATTCCTCTGTGTGAGGCTTACAAGCTAAGAATGGTTTTTACATTTTTAAAGAGTTGGTTAGGCCAGGCTCAGTGGTTCATACCTCTAATCCCAAGCTTTGGTAGAATGAAGTAGGAGGATTGCTTGAGGCCAGGAGTTCTAGACCAGCCTAAGGTAACATAGTGAGATCCCATCTCTTAAAAAAATAAAAATAAAAAGATTGACAGGGCATGGTGGTGGGAGCCCAAGTACTAACTACCTGGGAGACCGAGGCAGGAGGATCACCTGAGCGAAGGAGTTTGAGGTTATAATGAGCTATGACTGTACCACTGCACTTTAGCCTGGGCAACAGAGTGAGACCCTGTCTCAATTAAAAAAAGAAGAGTTGGTTAACAACAAAAGGATGAGCCTGAAATATTTATTATATGGCTTTTTGCAGGTAGTTTGACTGCCCCTGCTCAAGAATTTTAAGAAATAAAAAGCAGATTTTGTGGAGAACGAGATAAGTTTATACACACACACACACACACACACACACTAATTCACACACGTGTGTATGTATATAAAACACTCAAGTATATATGAAGGGTGTTTTATGGAAAGTTTTGGGATGTTAGTCATAACACGAGAATGTTTTTAAAATTTTAAGAAAATAATTTCATTGATTTAGACATACAAAAAAACGTGTGTGTGTGTACACACACGTTTTTTTTTTTTTTTTTTTTTTTTTTTTTCAAATTGAGACAGGGTCTATGTCACATGGGCTTGAGTTCTATGGCACCATCTCAGCTCACTGCGACCTCTGCCTCCCTGGTTCAAGTAATCCTCCCACCTCAGTCTCCCAAGTAGCTGGGACCATAGGTGCATACCACCACCCCCAATTTTTTTTTTTTTTTTTTTTTTTTTTTTGGTAGAGACAGGATTTCGCCATGTTGCCCAGGCTGGTCTCCAGCTTCTGAGCTCAAGCGATCCACCACCTTAGCCTCCCGAAGTGCTGGGATGACAGGCATGAGCCATCATGCCTGGCCATAAAAAGTATTTTTTGAACACCTACTTTGTTTGGGACATTCTACAACATTGTACAGGGTGTTCACATATGACATCTCATGTGGCCTCTGCAGGTTTTTGCAAGAGGTGGTATTATCCTTAATGATACAGTTAATTCTCAAAAAAGATTATTTGTCCAGATACTTAGTGGCAGAGCCTGAATTCTTGGACTCTCTGACTCTGCATCCCTCATGCTGGTTGTGGACGGGTTAGGTGGGTAGTTGTTTGCCCTTTACACTTCTGTTTAGAGACTAGAATGAATGATAAACTAGGGGCCCATACCTCAGAGAGTCTTTTAAGCAGTAAAGAAAAGTTGAGGGTTATGAGTCTTTCATCTGTTATTTTTTTTTTAATATATATATTAATCTAAGAGGCTTTCCAGTTGACTTTTGGACTAAAACATGTTGATTCCAATTTTCTTGCTAAGAGTGATGATCTCAGTAAAGTGTCTAGGATGTGGAGACTATAGGCATAATGTAAAAAGAGCTGCCTAGGATTGGAACTCCACACTTACATTTTTTACTACTCTTAAATCTGTAATGGAGGTCCATACTTCTGAGAGCCAAATGGATAAAATCTCTCTCTCTCTCTTTTTTTTCCTAAGATGGTGCCGCCCTGTCACCCAGGTTGGAATGCAGTGGCGCCATCACGGCACACTGCGTGTAGCCTCAATCTCATGGGCTCAAGCAATCCTTCCTTCCCCCTCAGCCAAGTAGCTGGGACTATAGGTGCTCACCACCATACCTACTTAATATTTTGTAGTTTTTGTAGAGATGGGGTTTTACTATGTTGCTTAGGCTGGTCTCAAACTCCTGATCTCAGGCCATCCACCTACTCAGCCTTCCAAAGTGTTGGGATTACAGGCATGAGCCATTGCACCCAGCCAGATATCTTTTTTTTTTTTTTCTGAGATGGAGTCTAACTCTTGTTTCCTAGGCTGGAGTGCAATGGCATGATCTCGGCTCACTGAAACCTCTGCCTCCCAAGTTCAAGCAATTCTCCTGCCTCAGTCTCCTGAGTAGCTGGGATTATAGCCGTGTACCACCACACCCAGCTAATTTTTCCATTTTTAGTGGAGACAGGGTTTCACCATGTTGACCAGGCTGGTCTCAAACTCCTGACCTCAGGTAACCTCCGTGATCTGCCTGCCTCAGCCTCCCAAAGTGCTGGGATTACAGGCATGAGCCACCTTGCCCAGCCCCATGTGTATTTTAAATATATGCAATGACAGTAATGCTATCCTGTGAATAAAAGAGATTTGTTCAGCAAATGAAACACTTGGTGTACTATTCCAAAATGACAGCATAGCAAAATAAATGGTCTTATTTTATTTATTAACCTAATAGTATTTATGTATTCTTAGTCTTGAAATGTACATCTTTTCCCTAAGTACCCCAAATCAGAAAACTTGAAGTAAAAAGCTAGAAATACTTTTCCTCTGTATTTTCCTTTCTGGTTCATTAAGTTTTCATTAAATTCCACCAGAAAAAAAAAACTGGTATAGTTTTTTTTTTTTTTGAGACAGAGTCTTACTCTGTCCCCCAGGCTGGAGTGTATTGTCACATTTGCAGCTCACTGCAACCTCTGACTCCTGGGTTCAAGCAATTCTCATGCCTCAGCCACTAGAGTAGCTGGGATTATAGGTGTGCACTGTCACACACAGCTGTCTTTTATATTTTTAGTGAAGATGGGGTCTTACCACGTTGGCCAGGCTGGTCTCAAACTCCTGACCTCAAGTAGTCCACCCACCTTGGCTTCCCAAGTCCTGGGATTACAGGTGTGAGCCACTGAGCCAGGCCTGAGTTTAAAGATAAGATTCTTAAAGTTCTTAAATGTATGCATTGGCTAAATCGGATTTATTTGGTTTTATAGGAATTCTTTTCAAAGAAGTCAGATTGTTCTTTATTCATGTTTGGCTCCCATAATAAGAAGCGGCCAAATAATCTAGTCATAGGTAAGTATAATTTACTTTTTAATGTTTTCACTAAGAGTCAACTGGTTAGCAGCAGTGAATTTGTACGGGTCTGCCGCAGCTTGGTTCTTGCCTCTTCAGAGAAAGAACTCATCCAAGAGGCATAGGCAGAGTGAGAGACTGAGGCAAGTTTTTTTTTTTTTTTTTTTTTGAGACAGAGTCTCACTCTGTCACCCAGGCTGGAGTGCAGTGGCATGATCTTGGCTTACTGCAACCTCCGTGAGGCAAGTATTTGAACAGGAGTGAAAGTTCATTAAAAAGTTTAGAGCAGGAGCTGGGCATGCGGATGCCTGTAGTGCCAGCTACTCAGGAAGCTGAGGCATGAGAATTGCTTGAACCTGGTAGGCAGAGGTTGCAGTGAGCCAAGATCCCACCACTGTACTCCAGCCTGGGTGACAGAGTGAGACCCTGTCTCGAGGAAAAGAAAAGTTAATAGAGCAGGAACAAAAGGAAGAGCGCCATGCAGGCAACCTGAGAGATTTCAGTATGCTATTTGGCCTTTGTGCCGTTAGGCATTATATGTTGGTATGCTTCAGAAGTTTGGTGTCTCTCGTCCCTTGATTTTTCTTTTTTTTTTTCTTTCCTTCTGAGACAGTCTTGCTCTGCTCCGTTGCCCAGACGAGTGCAATGGCTCAATCTCAGCTCATCGCAACCTCCACCTCCTGAGTTCAAGCAGTTCTCCTCAGCCTCCCGAGTAGCTGGGACTACAGGAGCCTGCCACCACACCCAACTAATTTTTGTATTTTTAGTAGATACAGGGTTTCACCATGTTGCCCAGGGTGCTCTCAAACTCCTGCCTCAAGTGACCCATCTGCCTTGGCCTCCCAAAGTGCTGAGATTACAGGTGTGAACCCGCATGCCTGGCCTCTTCTCTTGATTTTTCCTTGGGATGAGCAGTCTGCCTGCACAGTGGCCTGCCAGCACTTGGGAGGGGCCACATGTACAGTGTGTTACTGGAGTGGTATGGGTGCTCATATGAAGCATAGAGCAAGGTCATATACCTGTTAAAGTCTGCCATTTTGCCTCTTAGTTTGCATGTTTGAGCCCACTCACTCAACTCCTGAGATCTTATTGGGAAATTGCTGATCACTAGCCTCAGGTGTTTTCTATTTCTTGGGAGCCTGCCTTTCCCTGGCACTGGCTGCAACCAATTATTATTTTAGAGAGTTTAATAACTGATCATCACCTGGTGGTCGTCTGTCACCTGATGGTTGCCTGGCATTCCTGGTTGGGGTGGGGTGAGTGGGCAGCCTTTCCTGTCTTGCACGTCTACCTATCTGTTGTAACACGATCTGTGACTCAGATTAACTGATGGTGTAATCGATAAGCCGTAAACTACTTTGGTGGGGTCTTTTTGCTTTCACCTTGTGATACTAAAAAAAATTTTTAGATCAGGCTGGGCGTGGCTGGACACAGTGGCTCATGCTTGTAATCCCAGCACTTTGGGAGGCCAAGGCTGACAGATCACCTGAGGTTGGGGGTTCAAGACCAGCGTGATCAACATGGAGAAACCCCATCTTTATTAAAAATACAAAATTAGCCAGGCATGTTAGTGCACACCTGTAATCCCAGTTACATGGGAGGCTGAGACAGGAGAATTGTTTGAACCTGGGAGGCGGAGGTTGCGGTGAGCTGATATCATGCCATTGCAATCTAGCCTGGGCGACAGGGCGAGACTTCATCTCAAAAAAAAAAATTCTTTTATCAGTCTGCAAGTAAATCATGGGGCATATAAATAAGACCCTGCCAATACAGTGAAGTGCCACAAGTAAGAAAGAATAATGAAAAGAGTCCTTAGTAATTCATGTTTTGGAATGCCATTGCCTTCTGTCTCGGTCAGAATTGACTTCTGGTTTGAACAGGAAGTGTGGCCTCTTCGGGCTCTCAGCATCCCTGCCTATTTAGTTGTAGATGCAGCACCATTACCTTGTGTTTGCATTGAGTGTCTCTGATCTCCCACACAGCATGGATCCATTCGAATTGGTGGAAAAAATTACCCTAACTTGCAGACTTTTCTTAATATGAAATATATATGTACTAAATCAATATTGGAGTTAGAAAAAAAAAAAAAACAAGGTGTATTGACCCACAAAAATTAACCCTTCTGTAATATCTATTGCATAAATAGATTTGAAAAAGAACCTTTGCCTCCGTGTATTGAGATTCAGCCTGGCATGCTCACTGGCTTAGGCAAGCCCTTTGCCTTCTGTGGGCTGTCATTGATTCTTCTATAAAATAAAGGGGTTGGGCTAAGTAATATCTAAGATCCTTTCCATGACTATCATACAATCAATAAGTAGAGTTGAAAATGTAAGAAAGTGGGATATGTTTGGGGGGGATGTAGGGAGAAAGAAAAGAGGCAGATAGTGGGGCATTTTGAACACACAGGTCATGTGGGTATATATGTAAGGTGGTTCTTTGGGAAAAAATACATGCTTAAAAATACATTTTCCTTCCAGGTCGTATGTATGACTACCATGTGCTGGATATGATTGAATTAGGTATTGAGAATTTTGTCTCTCTAAAAGACATTAAGGTAAGATACTGATCTTAGAAATGAAAATATTTTGTAATGCTTCTCTTGGCCAGTAGTGACATCTTGTGGTGAAGAGTACTGATAGAGTGTTGTAGATCTAGAGCTTTGTGTTTTTGTTTTTTTGCTTGTTTGGGGTTTGTATTTTTTTTGAAATGGAGTGTCACCCAGGCTGGCATGCAATGGTGTGATCTCAGCTCACTGCAGCCTCCACCTCCTGGGTTCAAGCAATTCTCCTGCCTTAGCCTCCTGACTAGCTGGGATTACAGGTGCCTGTCACCATACCCGGCTAATTTTTTTTTTTTTTTTTTTAAAGTAGAGACAGGGTTTCACCATGTTGGCCAGACTGGTCTCGAACTCCTGACCTTGTGATCTGCCCGCCTTGGCCTCCCAAAGTGCTGGGATTACAGGCATGAGCCACCACGCCTGGCCAAATTTTGTGTTTTTATTTTGATATGCTCTAGGATAAAAATACAATTTTAGGCTGGGTGTGGTAGCTCACGCCTGTAATCCCCACACTCTTTGGGAGGCTGAAGTGAGCAGATCACGAGGTCAAGAGATCGATACCATCCTGGCCAACATGGTGAAACCCTGTCTCTACTAAAAATACAAAAATTAGCTGGGAGCAGTGGTGCACACCTGTAGTCCCAGCTACTTGGGAGGCTGAGGTGGAAGAATTGCTTGAATCCGGGAGGCGGAGGTTGCAGTGAGCCAAGATTGCACCACTGTGTTCCAGCCTGGTGACAGAGCAAGATTCCATCTCAAAAAAAAAAAAAAATGCAAGTTTATTTTACCTTTCTTTTAAAAAGAGGAATATATTTATAGTGCATAGCAACATATGTTGACCTTGTGGCTGTTAGACTTCAGACTGTGGTTACTAATTCTTGTCTAGGCCATGGTTTAAAGTTTGTTTGTTTTCTTTTTTGCTTTTTTCATAGTTTGATTTTTATTTATTTATTTTTTTTAGACGGGGTCTCACTTTGTTACCCAGGCTGGAGAGCAATGGCATGAACATGGCTTACTTCAGCCTCAACCTCCTGGGCTCAAGCAATCCTCTCCCACCTCAGCCTCCTAAGTAGGGACTATAGGTACATGCCAGCACGTCTAGCTAATTTTTTTGTGTTTTTTTTTTTAGAGGCAGCATTTTGCTATGTTGCCCAAGCTGATCTCAAATTCCTGAGCTCAAGGGATCTCTCTGCCTGGTGTGAGCCAAAGCACCCAGAGACCTATAGTTTAAATGCTGTCCTCTTCCTCTGAATTATCACAGTACCTATTATTTTATGGAACCTTAGAAAAACCTGTAGAATTTTCAAATTGAACCCTGTTCTAAACCCAGGAATGTCTTTACTGATACTAAAGTATTTTGGTTACTAACCACCAAATGGCAGCTCAGTTCACCCTTGGGGAGTTGCGTCTTTGTGTTATCTTTGTTTTAATGGTATTACAAAATGGAAAGTAGTAAATAGTAGTAAAAATACTCTTAGAAAGGTGGGAATGGTATTCTAACTCAGCTCCTAGGTACAAACTCAGAACTCTGCTTCAGGCTTAATCTATCCCATCAAATACATTATTTCATCTAGACCTCACAGCAATTTGGATAAGCCCTAAATAATTTTCTTTTTTGTATAGATTTGGAGTTTGAGGCCCATATGTGAGAATCACACATATGGTCAGTATAACCAAGATTAGGACTCTAGGGCTTTGAGAGAACCGATATTTTTGTTTGTAATAAAAAGTTATGTAACTGCTCTCAGTTTATGGGTTTTTGAGGCTCATGGTCTAGTAGAAAGAATTACAGCAAAAATATATAATCACTCTTTTCTCAGCCTGACTTTAAGAAGAAAATGTGCTTTCCAAGTTGGGTAGAATTTCTGTACTAAGTAACTTTATCCTGTGAGTTTGAATAAAAGGTGTTTACCAGATCCCCATTTAGTGAGTCACTGCAGTGTTCTGCTCTACAGGCAGAGCAGTGGTCTGATACTGGATTTAGAGGCAGAACACTTGGATTTGAGGCCTGTCTTGGCTATTCAAGTGACATCTGGTGCTGTGACTTGTCAGTGGCTTCCTTGACCTTCAATTGCAATCACATATAAAATCACAACACCAAATGAGATAATATATGTGAAAATGCTTATCAGTAAAGATAATATTTTGTAAAGTACATAAACTGTGATGCTTGATTACAATGGAATTCCTCCTATTATTTTTCTTTCTTTTTTTTGAGACAGGGTCTCACTCTATCACCCTGGCTGGGAAACAGTAGTACAGTCTCAGTTCAGTACAGCCTTGACCTCCTGGGCTCAGGCAATCCTCCCACCTCAGCCTCCCAGGTAGCTGGGACTATAGGTGCATGCCACCTCGTCTAGCTAATTTTTTGTAAAGATAAGCTCTCACTATGTTGCCCAGACTGGTCTCAAACTCCTGAGCTCAAGAGATCCTTCTGCGTCAGCCTCCCAAAGTGCTGGGGTACCCAGCTGTCATATTATTGTAGTGTCTCTTTGGGGCCATCCAGAAATCCCTGGAGAAGACCAGCAAAACTCCATTTCACCTTTACCACCGCCACTAGCTCATCATCAGCTTAGTGGGAGTGGGAGGGAGTGCTAGCTGATGAGCACATGCCAGCCCCTTACCTCTCCAAAAAACTTCTTTTTTTTTGAGACGAAGTTTTCCTCTTGTTGCCCACATTGGAGTACAGTGGTACAGTCTCAGCTCACTGCAACCTCTGCCTCCCAGGTTCAGGCGATTCTCCTGCCTCAGCCTCCTGAGTACCTGGGACTGCAGGCGTGTACCACCGCGCCAGCTAATTTTTGTATTTTTAGTAGAAACAGGGTTTCACCATGATAGTGAGGCTGGTCTCGAACTCCTGACCTCAGGTGATCCTCATGCCCCGGCCTCCCAAAGTGTGGGGATTACAGGCATGAGCCACTGTGCCCTGTTGAGGCCTCATTTCTTAATAAAAAAAAGTTTTTGAAATATTGTATGATTAAAAAAATTTTTTTTATTTGTTATGAGACAGAGCCTTGCTCTGTTGCCCAGGACAGAGTGCAGTGGCATCACAGCTCAGTGGAGCCTTGATCTCCTGGACTCAAACAGTCCTCCTGCCTCAGCCCCCTGAGTAGCTGGGACTGTGGGTATGTACCACCACAGCTGGCTAATTTATAAATTTTTTGTAGAGATGGGGGTCTCACTATGTTGTCTAGCTAGAGTGTTGAACTCCTGGGGTCAAATGATCCTCCCAGCTTAGCCTTTCAAAGTGTTGGCATTATAGGTGTGAACCACCGTGCCAAACCAGCTCATCTGTTGTAGTCTCCTGCCTAGTTCAGGGTTTTCATGATGATGTGCATGTGACTAGTATATTTTAAAAATGGAATGGATTGAAAAATATCAGTGCTGTATGTATTAAGTATTGGGGTTTTTCTCTGGAGACAGGATCTTGCTTTGTTGCTCAGACCAAAAGTCATTCACCTTCCTCTGTAAATTACTCCTTCAGTTAAAGAATTTTTACTATTTCATTTATTCCTCTTTGGTGGCTTCTAAATCATCTTTTTAATCACATCACATTCTATTTGGTATAGAAAATCTAGAACTGGGGAAAATACATTTTTTTTTTTTTTGAGACTGAGTTTCGCTTGTTACCCAGGCTGGAGTGCAATGGTGTGATCTCGGCTCACTGCAACCTCCACCTCCTGGGTTCAAGTCTCCTGCCTCAGCCTCCTGAATAGCTGGGACTACAGGTGTGCACCACCATGCCCAGCTAATTTTTGTATTTTTAGTACAGATAGGGTTTCGCCACGTTGACCAGGATGGTCTCAATCTCTTGACTTCGTGATCCACCCGCCTCTGCCTCCCAAAGTGCTGGGATTATAGGCGTGAGCCACCTTGCCCGGCCTGGGAAAATACTTTTTATAGTAAGAATCTCAACCCTGCTGATGAGAATTGGCCTATACTTTCTATAGCTTATGTAAAATTTTATTGCCTCTCATGTGAATGTCTAGTTGGTAGTTTAATTTAGCATTCATTTTATTTTTATTTATATATATTTTTTGAGGGTCTTATTCTGTATCCCAGGCTGGAGTGTAGTGGCGTGAGCATGGCTCACAGCAGCCTGGACTTCCCTGGGCTCAGGTGATGCTTCCACCTTAACCTCCCAAGTAGCTGGGACCATAGGTGTGCACCACCATGCCTGGCTATTTGTGTGTTTTTTTTGTTGTTGTTTTTTGTTTGTTGTTTTTTGACGTAAGAGTCTCATCTGTCGCCCAGGCTGATGTGCAGTGGTGCAATCTCAACACTTTGCAACCTCCACCTCCCAGTTCAAGCAATCCTCCTGTCTCAACCTCCTGAATAGCAGGGACTACAGGCACACACCAACACACCTGGCTAATTTTTGTATTTTTTTAGTAGAAACAGGGTTTCACCATGTTGGCCAGGCTTGTCTCGAACTCCTGACCTCAAGTGATCAACCAGTCTCTGCCTCTGAAAGTGCTGGGATTACAGGTGTGAGCCACCGTGCCCAGCCCATAACCTTCATTTAAAAATACTTTTTATAGGTTATAGTGTTTTTTTTGGCATAGAAGTCTAGAAGCTTAAAAACATTTTATTTGTACCAATGTGCCTTTCATATATAAAAGGTATTTTCCTATAAAATAGGTATTTTCCTTTTATATGAAAGGCACAGTGGTACAAATAAATTATAATTTTTATTTATTTATTTGCTGAGATAAGGTTCTGCCCTGTCACCCAGGCGAGAGTACAGTGGCATGATCATGGCTCACTATAGCCTCCACTTCCTGGGCTCAGGAGATCCTCCCACCTCAAGTTCTAAGTGGCTGGGACCATGGGCACCCACCAACATGCCCAGCTAATTTTTAGAATTTTTTTTTGGCCAGGCGTGGTGGCTCACGCCTGTAATCCCAACATATTGGGAGGCTGAGGTGGGCAGATTACCTGAGGTTGAGAGTTCGAGACCAGCCTGACCAACATGGAGAAACCCTGTCTCTACTAAAAATACAAAATTAGCTGGGTGTGGTGGCACATGCGTGTAGTCCCAGCTACTCAGGCAGCTGAGGCAGAAGAATCACTTAAACCCGGGAGGTGGAGGTTGCGGTGAGCCGAGATCGCACCATTGCACTCCAACCTGGGCAACGAGAACAAAACTCCGTCTCAAAAAAAACAAGTTGTTTTGAAGAGGTAAGGTCTCACTATGTTGCCCAGGCTGGTCTTGAACTCACTTGTGACTTCAAGCTGTCTTCCCTCTTTGGCCTTCCAAAGTGCTGGGATTATAGGCATAAATCGTCACAGCTGGCCTTAAATTTATTTTGATTGGGATGCTGGCCATCAGAAGGCTATTTTTAATTTGTTGGTTGGTCCTGTTTTGTTTTGTTTTGTTTTGTTTTGTTTTTGGTTTTGCAAGTATAATGTTTAGTAGTATTCTTTGCATAGACTAATGTTAAAAAAATTAATTTATATGATTATTTTGCCGTCTTTTATTTGATAATGTAAATGAGTGGGATAAAGAATGGCTTTTTTAGTATAGCAGTCTAGAAGCTTAAAAATGTCATCTTAGCCAGACCCACAGCTGTCATCCCAGCTACTTGGAGAATGGCTTGGGCCCAGGAGTTTGAGTCCAGCCTAGGCAACACAATGAGACCCTATCTCTTAAAAAAAAAAAAAAAAAAAAAAAAAAAAAAAAAAAAAAGGCCGGGCGCGGTGGCTCAAGCCTGTAATCCCAGCACTTTGGGATGCCGAGACGGGTGGATCACAAGGTCAAGAGATCGAGACCATTCTGGTCAACATGGTAAACCCCATCTCTATTAAAAATACAAAAAAAATAGCTGGGCATGGTGGTGCGTGCCTGTAATCCCAGCTACTCGGGAGGCTGAGGCAGGAGAATTGCCTGAACCCAGGAGGTGGAGGTTGCGGTGAGCCGAGATCGCGCCATTGCACTCCAGCCTGGGTAACAAGAGCGAAACTCCGTCTCAAAAAAAAAAAAAAAGAAACCCACCTCTGTTTTTACCTCTAATATCAGTATTCACAGACATAGTTTTAGGACAGTTAATAGAATGTGAAAATAAGTAAGTATTGACTACTTTGAAATCTGTATAGGCCAGGCAAAGTGGTTCGCACCTGTAATCTCAGCACTTTGGGAGGCCGAGGCAGGTGGATCATTTGAGGTCAGGAATTTGAGACCAGCCTTACCAGCATGGTGAAACCCAGTCTCTGTGAAAAATACAAAAAAAATTAGCAGGGCATGGTGGCGTGCACCTGTAGTCCCAGCTACTTGAGAGGCTGAGGCAGGAGAATCGCTTAAACCTGGGATGCGGAGGTTGTAGTGAGCTGAGATTGTGCCACTGCACTCTAGCCTTGGTGACAGAGTGAAACTGCCTCAAAATATAAATAAATGAATAAAATAAAATAAAATCAGTATATAAACAGTTTAGACTTTGGTAATTATATAATTGCAATTTTTTTTTTTTTTAGAACAGTAAATGCCCTGAGGGAACAAAACCCATGTTAATATTTGCTGGTGATGATTTTGATGTAACAGAAGATTATAGAAGACTAAAAAGTCTTCTTATTGGTAAGTATTTTAGTATTTATTATCTACAGTATAGCTCAGGAAGGCAGTCTCAGACTGTCACTGGTGGCACGTTGCTACTTTAGGTTTCTAACTTCTTTTTTCTCTTATTTTTAAAATAATATTTATATACTTAAAATAATGGAGTGCTTCACAAATTTGCATGCCATCCTTGTGCAGGGGCCATGCTAATCTCTCTGTATGGTTCCAGTTTTAGTATATGTGCTGCTGAAGCGAGCACAACTTCTTTTTTCTCCTTTTCTTGGACCTCTCTTTCTTTTTCCCCTTATCAGCAACAGGAAAGTACCTAATTATCTCAGGAGAATTAAAGGGGCTGTCGTACTGTGTAGATGATTATTTCTGGATGTAAATTAGTAACTGAGGTATTATTTATATAGTGTCTTATAAAATTCCTGCACCTATCTCCTGTCATTCCTAGCATGATTTCAAATTAAATTTAGAAGGTTGGGAGATTAAAATTTCAAGATTGTATGTATCACTGACTTCCAACTCAAAAATCTTTATTAGTTTTTCTGACTTGAATATACAAGGCCTTTCACAGTATATAGCCAATGTAACTTGCCTTCTTGATCTCCTATTTCCTTTTTTTTTTCCATTAAAAAAGGGTTTATTGCCAATATATTATTCGCATTTCTGTTGTCTATTCTGGTATCATTCTTATTTATCCAGTTTCTACCATTCATTTAAGTGTGAGATCAAGTTTCTTTTCCAGGAAGGCCTCAGTGACCTCTGCTCTGTTGCCTAGGCTGAAATGGCTCAATTTCAGCTCACTGCAATCTCCACCTCCCGGGTTCAAGCTGTTCTCCTGCCTCAGTCTCCCAAGTAGCTGAGATTATAGGTGCCCACCACCACGCCTGGCTAATCTTTTTTTTTTTTTTTTTAGTAGAGATGAGGTTTCGCCATGTTGGCCAGGTTGGTCTTAAAGTCCTGACCTCAGGTGATCCACCTACCTCGGCCTCCCAAAGTGCTGGGATTATAGGCATGAGCCGCAGCACCAGGCCCCGGCTCTTTTTTACTTCATTACCATCATCATCCTAAGTGCCACGCAGATAGTAGGCACTTCGTATACACTGCTTCATTCTGACAAGAACCTTGTGAGGTAGACATGGGTTATCTGTAGGACAGTGACGGTAATGAAGTAAAAGGAGCCATTCTTGGGATTTTAATTTTTAGAATTTATTTTCCTTATTAATAATAACTACTTTTAAAAAAAAGAAACTAAGAACCACTATTATCTGTTTAATCTTTACAAAAGTTCTTGAGTTCAGTGACATTCCCATTTTACAGATGGGAAAACAAACGAGGGCCCTGAGAGGTTAAATAAGAGCTATTCAGCAGGTAAGGCTGAGTTGAAACCCAAAGCTTCCAAAGCCTGAGCTTTTCTTCCCCTGCTGTCTATCTTGCCTCTGGTGAGCATAATCCCATGATCCCTTCTAGAGTCTTTTCCTCTAGGTTCTTATCCATATGTTCCATGAATTAAATTCACACATGAAAGACAGTGACCAATATTTCCTTCTCTCAATATTATATATCCCAAATTATCAAGGGTATTTTTTCTTTTTCTTTTTTTGAGATGGAGTGTCACTCTGTTGCCCTGGCATGATCTCAGTTCACCTCAACCTCCACCTCCCAGGTTCAAGTAATTCTCCTGCCTCAGCCTCCTTAGTACCTGGGACCACAGGTGCATGCCATCACACCCTGCTAAGTTTTTAAATTTTAGTAAAGACTGGGTTTCACCACATTGGCCAGACTGGTCTCGAATTCCTGACCTCAAGTGATCTGCCTGCCTCGGCCTGCCAAAGTGCTGAAATTATAGGCGTGAACCACCATGCCTGACCAAGGGTATTTTTTCAGCCAAAATATCAGCCAGATTTTCAACTAAGATTTCCATTACTTGCACTCCATTGACCTAGGTTTTCTGTCTTTTTCTCTTTCCCCCAGGTCTTCCATATAATTTTTTGTTGTCAGTGAGGTAGATACTTAAAATTTGTTGTAATAGAGAGAGGTTTTGTTTGCATTTGTTTAAATACTTTTTGTGTTTTAATAAGCCCTACCTTCTCATTGTTTTGTGCTTCCACTAGATGGCAGGAATGATCACATAATTCAGTGACGAGGGGAAGAGAGTGAACCCAAAAAGGAATCTGAACAGAAGCGGAAAGGTAGAAGAGGAATACATTCAGATTGTAGGGCACCAAGGGACCAAGGGAAGATGGGTTTTTAGTATAAATATGAAGTAAGACAGCTGCTCCTTAGTTTATGTTGTGTGTTTCAAATGAAATATCAGTAGGGAGCAAGAAATATATGAAGGACTTTTGTTTAGGAAGTTCCTTTTTTAGTGTGTGTATGCATAATTGACCAAAAAGAAAAGTTGACTTTTTTTTTTGAGATGGAGTTTCACTCTTGTTGCCCAGGCTGGAGTACAATGGCATGATCTCGGCTCACTGCAACCTCTGCCTTCTGGGTTCAAGCAATTCCCCTGGCTCAGCCTCGAGTAGCTGGGATTACAGGCATGTGCCACCACACCTGGCTAATTTTGTGTTTTTAGTAGAGACAGGGTTTCTCCATGTTGATCAGGCTGGTCTCAAACTCCTGACCTCAGGTGATCTGCCTGCCTCGGCCTCCCAAAGTGCTGGGATTTACAGGCGTGAGCACTGTGCTTGGCAGATGTTTTTTTTTTTTCATGTAAGATACCCATTTTACTCATTCTGAATTTTGTTTTCATCTGTTTTTTTGTTAGTTTTGACATAGGGTCTCATTCTGTTGATCAGGCTGGAGTATAGTGACATGATCATGGCTCACTGTAGCCTCAACTTCATAGTCTCAAGTGATCCTCCTACCTCATTCCCCTCAGTAGCTGGGACCACAGGTACATGTCACCATGCCCAGCTAATTCTTTTTATTTTTTGTAGATATGAGGTCTTGCTACATTGCTCAAGCAGTTCTCCAGCTTCAGTGTCCCAAAGTTGGAGGTGTGAGCCAATGTGCCTGGCCTATTCTTCCCTTATTATTTTTTTTTTTTTGAGATGGAGTCTTGCTATGTCACCAGGTTGGAGTATAGTGGTGCGATCTCGGCTCACCACAACCTCTGACTCCCTCTTTCAAGCGATTCTCCTGCCTCAGCCTCCTCAGTAGCTGGAATTACAGGCATGTGCCACTACGTCCAGCTGATTTTTGTCTTTTCAGTAGAGATAGGTTTTTACCATGTTGGCCAAGATGATCTCTATCTCCTGACCTCATGATCTGCCTGTGTTGGCCTCCCAAAATGCTAGGATTACAGGTGTGAGCCACTGCACCCAGCCCCTTTATTGCTTAAATGGTAGCATACTATATATGTAGTTTTTTTTTTTTTTAATTTGGAGTAGAGAAATTTTTAATTCTGATTTTCATTACACGATTGAGAACACCGAGGCCTGGACAGGTGAGCACCTTTTCTAAGGTCATGCATTTACCAAGTGGCATATTAACGTTTTGAACTTAGGTCTCTCCAAAATACATGCTTTATTTATTTATTTATTAAAAAAATTTTTTTTCCCCTTAATGCCACTAATAAGCCAACAGGCTTTTATTTTTTATTTATTTGTTTATTTTTTGAAATGGAGTCTCGCTCTGTTGCCCAGGGTGGAGTGCAGTGGTGCATTCTTGGCTCACTGCAACCTCTGAGTCAGCTGTTCAAGCAATTCGTCTGCCCTAGCCTCCTGAGTAGCTGGAATTACAGGTGTACACCACCATGCTTGTATACTTTCTGTATTTTTTGTAGAGACGGGGGTTTGTGGTGTTGGCCAGGTTGGTCTTGAACTCCTGGCCTTAGGTGCTCCACCGCCTTGGCCTCCCAAGTGCTGGGATTACAGGCGTGAGCCACTGCACTCGGCCATGCTTTTATTTATATAGTATTAGTATACTTTAGGTTCTCAGGTTCATAAAGAGTTATTTATAATACTTATTTCATGTTTGAAATCCTAACAGTGTATATACCACTTGGCATGAGATCTTTCCCAACTAGAAATGATCTTTCCCTCCCTGGAACTTCCAGAACAGTTTATACTGTTCTCCTTTTAATGTACTACTTTAAATTGCAGTTGTTTGTATATATTCATATCTACCTAGAATGTGTGGGACCCCTGGTGGAAAGATGCTGTATGTCATTTATCATAACGCATAATAGGTGCTCTGGTACTATTTGTCAAGTGAATGAATGCTTTCCAATGGTATTCATGTGTAAACCATAGTCTGTTGTTTTCTAGCCAGAAAATATCATGCTGTTAGACATACTTGCTTTTCAGTTACTAAGCACTACCATTTCTGCCCTCCCATTTTTCATTCATTACGTGTTTGTGTTACCTTGATGCATTGCAAACTTTAGTGCGGTTTCAGTTCGAACTTCAGTAAGATTTCAGTTTGGTGGTTAAGAGAAAATGTTGTAATAAAAGGATGACTACTTACAACTACTGGATACAGACTGAAAATTCTTCTATATTCATAGTCTTAGAAATTTTCACTTAATAAAGAGTACTTTTCTATGTGCTTATTGTGTTTCTAAAGTTTTCTCCCTTTGTATCATTCTAAAAAACTTATGGAAAAAGCACAGATGCCTTGAAAATGTTGCCTTATGAAAGTTGTTTTGCCGGGCATGGTGGCTCACTCCTGTAATCCCAGCACTTTGGGAGGCCAAGGCAGATGGAACATGAGGTCAGGAATTCGAGACCAGTCTGGTCAACATAGTGAAACTCCATCTCTACTAAGAGTACAAAAACTTAGCTGGGCTTGGTGACGGGCACCTGTAATCCCAGCTACTCAGGAGGCTGAGGCAGGAGAATTGCTGGAACCCAGGAGGTGGAGGTTGTAGTGAGCCGAGATTGTGCCATTGCATTCTAGTCCAGGGGACAGTGGGAGACCCTGTCTCAAAAAAAAAAAAAGATTATTTCAGAGCAGACTGGAATGTATATATTTTGTTCCCCAGAATTGCTATGACTTCAGTAATGTCATACCAGTGAGTGGGCTTCATTAACTTGGCCACTGAAGGAGAGTCAGGCTTTGGCAAAATCATGGGAAAGCTCTTTATTGTGATATTTAGATTAAAATATCTTGAAAAGTACAAACTTGTTTTATAAAAATGTCTCAGGCCAGGCAGGGTAGCTCATGCCTGTAATCCCAGCACTTTGGGAGGCGAAGGCAGGAGGATTGCTTGAGCCCAGAAGTTTGAAACCAGCCTGGGCAACATAGTGAGACCCCATCTTTATATATGTATAAATATAGGTAATATATGTACATTTAAAAAAAATTAAAAATGTCCATTGGGGTTTTTTTGGTTTGGGGGAATAGTATAAATGTGCTTGTATACTTGTGTTTGTTTTGAAAATCACATTAATGCTGTGATTTTCTTTTGGTTAACCACAAGAAAGGAAAAGCAGATGACAAAAGATGTGTACATCTGTGCACATGGAGATAATCTTTATTTTACAGGCTAATGGGAAGAGGGAAGAAAAATGCTAGGTGGCTACAGAATGGGACCAGATAGAATTTCCTGCTTGCTACATCACCTGCCTTGGGTAGCTCTTCCTAAGCAAACTTGGATAAACTTTTTTTTTTGAGACGGAGTTTCGCTCTTGTTATCCAGGCTGGAGTGCAATGGCATGATCTTGGCTCACTGCAACCTCCGCCTCGTGGGTTCAGGCAGTTCTCCTGCCTCAGCCTCCTTAGTAGCTGGGATTACAGGCACGCGCCACCATGCCCTGCTAATTTTTTGTATTTTTAGTAGAGGCTGGGTTTCACCATGTTGACCAGGATGGTCTCGATCTCTTGACCTCGTGATCCACCCGCCTCAGCCTACCAAAGTGCTGGAATTACAGGCATGAGCCACCGCGCTCAGCCTTGGATAAAGTTTTATATAGAACTTTATCTTAGTTAAATGTTATTCATGAATTTACATTTAGCCTTTTGGAGGTTCGATTTTCTCAGCTGTAAAATTAGGATACCGCATTTATTTTCCAAACTTCTCTCATAGCCAAGTCCGTGTAGTATCCATAGCATGACGTTCATTGGAGATTTTCTTTTAATTGACTCCTCTTTTTATTTTGCGAGACAGGGTTTTGCTCTGTCGCCGTCACTGGAGTGCAGTGGTAGGATCAGTGATCCTCCCACCTGAGCCTCTCCAGTAGCTGGGAATATAGCCTGCCTAATTTTTTTGTACTTTCAGTGGAGATGGGGTTTGACCATGTTGCCCAGGCTGGACTCAAATTCCTGATTTTAAGCAATTCACCTACCTCAGTCTCCCAAAGTTCTGGGATTATAGGCATGAGCCACTGTGCCCGGCTGACTACTCTTTTATTTACTTATTTATTTTTAGAGAGTTTCTCTCTTGTTGCCCAGGCTGAGTGCAATGGTGCAATCTCAGCTTACCACAAGCTCCACCTCCCCAGTTCAACTGATTCTCCTGCCACAGCCACCCAAGTAGCTGGGATTACAGGCATGTGCTACCATGCCCAGCTAATTTTGTATTTTTAGTAGAGATGGGGTTTCTCCATGTTGATCATGCTGGCCTCAAACTCCCCACCTCAGGCAATCCCTGTGCCTTGGACTCCCAAAGTGCTAGAATTACAGGTGTGAGCCACCGCGCTCAGCCAACTATTTATTTTTATTTATTTATTTATTTTAGATGGAGTTTCGCTCTTGTTACCCAGGCTGGAGTGCAATGGCGCGATATCGGCTCACTGCAACCTCCGCCTCCTGGGTTCAGGCAATTCTCCTCCCTCAGCCTCCTGAGTAGCTGGGATTACAGGCATGCGCCACCATGCTAATTTTTTGTATTTTTAGTAGAGACTGGGTTTCACCATGTTGACCAGGATGGTCTTGATCTCTTAACCTCGTCATCCACCCGCCTTGGCCTCCCAAAGTGCTGGGATTACAGGCTTGAGCCACCACGCCCAGCTGTACTCTTTTTAAAGGGAAACCTTATGTCCCTATCGTAAATGGAGAATGGTACAGGATAAAAGAAATACATAGTAAATTATATCTGGCTTTGTGCCACCAGTGGTATGATTACCACTCTGTGAGAAAAGAGCCTATCACCAATCTCCAAGGTTCTTTTCTGGCATTAACAGTTGATAAAGTTTCTTATCCTTTGCTCATATAATCTATTTCATATTAGAATTTTTTTTCTTGGCCTTTCTCATAGAAAAAAAATTAAGGCTAATTTGATTTTAATAGCCAGTTCCAACAGCCGATTTTATAGAAATTTGCTGTCTTCATCTACCAGTAGATTAAAATTTTATGCTTTGATTTACATTTTTTTAAGGTTAATACCTGTAATGGATATGATTTTTTGCTGCTGAGCTGACTCAGAGGGAGAACTTCAAAACTGAGAACACTGAATGTCTCAGTGAACCGAACACAGAAATAAAGTCATGAGATTAAATGGTTAAGGGCGAGACCTTCAGACATTTTCCAAGAATCATTTTTTGTGCTATTTTTTTTAGATAAGTATTAGAGCAAAATGTTTAGAATGTAGTTCTTAGTAACCGAATTTTGCAAGTATGTTTTTTTGTTTTGTTTTAACAATTTAATATGTGTTTTTAGATTTCTTCAGAGGCCCCGCAGTATCAAATATCCGCCTGGCTGGATTAGAGTATGTTCTGCACTTCACTGCACTGAATGGGAAGATTTACTTTCGAAGCTATAAGTAAGTGCATTTCATAGCATATTTTCTTGATCCTCAAGGTTAGTGTTTAAAACACTGTGACTGTTTTATAGAGCCCAAACTTAGAATTGGCATCTGGCCGAAAGGATTTTGGAGAGTTGGCAGGATAGCAATTGCGGCAGCTCTGTGCTGATCCTCAGTCCTTTGCCTCTGAAGCCCTACTTTTCCAGGGCCCCAGAGCATCTGATGCTGCACTGTCTCTGAGCCATGTGCACTAACCCTTCCTAGCTTTATGCAGTATCTCTTTATTGTTCTGGTTGGATTTACAGCACTGAGCCACAAATCCTTGGCCAAAGCAGCTCTCAAAACTCTAAGTCTAAGAAACTGAGTCTAAAAGGAATAAGAAGATTCAGTGGCTAGATTCATTATATCCTCTGTCCCTAGCCTAGGCCTTCTACCCCTACCACAATATAAATATAAATCTTAACAAGCAGGCCGAGCACGGTGGCTCACACCTGTAATCTCAGGACTTCGGGAGGCTGAGGCAGGCAGATCACTTGAGGCCAGGAGTTCAAGACCAGCCTGGCCAACATGGTGAAACCCCTTCTTTACTGAAAAAAATACAAAAATTAGCCCAGCATGGTGGCACCTGCCTGCAGTTCCAACTGTTGAGAGGCTGAGGCGCAAAAATTGCTTGAACCTGGGAGGTGGAAGTTGCAGTAAGCCATGATTGTGCCACTGCACTCCAGCCTGAACAACAGAGTTTCACAAAAAAAATCGTAAGCAGATTCTATGTTTATTAAAGAGTTATTGGCATGCTTACAAATGTGCTTCTTGAGGTAAGTGTGTGACTTTTCTTTTTTTAGGTGTTGGTACTAACTGACAGCCCACAGTTTCCTAGAGAATACACTGACTCCCACACATTTCCTTTCTTTGTACATTGAGTTCAGATTTTGCTGTACATCTTGATCTATGGTGTGGCTGGTGTTGCAGTCTGAGAGCTGATAGCATGGTGTTGACAGTGTTTTCTGTACAGTAGTGCTGTTGTGCAGCTGTTTGCATCTAGCATTTCATACATGGTTTTTATTTTGTTTTCCTTCGCAATGAAATACATGACTGAAGGGCTTTATGTCCAATGAATGTCCATCCGAAGCTTAAATATTCCCTCTTGTCAGTTAATAATTTCTGTCTTGGGCTCAACTGTATTAAGTCAGAGACACTTAGTTCTTTTTCTCCATATGATTAATACCACCACTTCTGTTTTTCTCTTTTCCTCTCATTAAAAATTAAATAATAAGGCAAAATGCAATAAAATATCTAATGATTATAAGATGTAATTAGAGACTTTATAATTAGAGACTTTATAGTCATTTTAAGCTAGTTAAGATAGAAAGCCCTTCAAGTCTCCTGTTTGAGTTTCTCTATATGATTGGGGGCTTCTAAGTATGTATTATACTATTGAGTAGATAACTGTTATTTAGAGAACAAGAAATGAAAAATCACTAACAAAAATGTTTTTAGGCTGGGCATGATGGCTCATGTCTGTAATCCCAGCACTTTGGGAGGCTGAGGTGGGTGGATTGCTTGAGGCCAGGAGTTCACAACCAGCCTGGCCAACATAGCGAAATCAGTCTCTAATAAAAGTACAAAAATTAGCTGGACATGGTGGCACACACCTGTTGTCCTAGATACTCAGGAGGCTGAGGCAGGACAATTGATTGAGCCCAGGATGCAGAGGTTGCAGAGAACAGGCAGATCACTTGAGGTGAGGAGTTTGAGATGAGCTTGGCCAACATGAAGAAACCTTATCTCTACTAAAAAATAAAAAAATTCGCTGGGTGTGGTGGCACACACCTGTAATCCCAGCTACTTAGGAGGCTGAGGCATGAGAATTGCTTGAGCCTGGGAGGCAGAGGTTGCAGTGAGCTGAGATGATGCCACTGCATTCCAGCCTGGGCTATAGAGTGAGACTGTGTCTCAAAAAAACAAAAAAACCCAAAACTTACATTGGCTGGACACCTGTAATCCCAGCACTTTGAGAGGTCAAGGCGGGTGGATTGCTTGAGGCCAGGAGTTCGAGACCAGTCTGGCCAACAAAGCAAAGCCCTATCTCTACTAAAAATACAAAAATTAGCTGGGTGTGGTGGTGCATACCTGTAATCCCAGCTACTAAGGTGGCTGAGGCATTGAGACTCACTTGAACCCGAAAGGTGGAGGTTGCAGTGAGCCAAGTTCATGCTTGAGGTCAGGAGTTCAAGACCAGCCTGGCTAACACGGTGAAAATTCATCTCTACTAAAAATACAAAAAATTAGCCAGATGTATTGGCACATGCCTATAGCCCCAGCTGCTTGGTAGGCTGAGGCAGGAGAATCACTTGAACCCTGGAGGTGGAGGTTGTGGTGAACTGAGTTCACACCACTGTACTCCAGCCTGGGTGACAGAGCAAGACTCCTTCTCAAAACAAAAACAAAAACAAAAACAAAACAAAAACCACTTATGTTAAACTGAGGATACAATAGAGGTAAAAATATAATAAATTGTTGAGAGTGATAAATGAATAATAGCAATTGTCTAAAACTCTTCTGTGTTGAACATTTTCACAGAAAGTATTCACTTGTATCAGAACTTGTGTTTAGTGAAAAGGATTTATTTGTAAAGAAAGATACAGAGCAAATAAAACAAAATAGAGGATTAACAAGTCAGACTTTAGAACAAGAATAAACTGGCCTGGTGTGGTGGCTCATGCCTGTAATCCCAGCACTTTGGGAGGCCGAGGTGGATGGATCACCTGAGGTTAGGAGTTTGAGACAAGCCTGGCCAGCATGGTGAATCCCCATCTGTACTAAAAGTACAAAAATTAGCTGGGCATGGTGGCGGGTGCCCGTAATCTCAGCTACTTGGGAGGCTGAGGCAGTAGAACCTGGGAGGCGGAGGTTGCAGTGAGCAGAGATTGCACCACTGCCCTCCAGCCTGGGTGACAGAGCAAAAACACACACACACACACACACCAATAAACTAGCAGTGTGACTATAATACATAGATCCACCAAAAATCTGATTGCTAGAATCATCTTTTATAACAAAAAAAAGTTTGAATTTAAAATCAGAGACCCTAGTATATACTTTTCCATATGTGCCTTGTAATACTGGTTAGCTATTGATTTGAAGTAAAAAGTGGCCAATGTGATTGAGGGTGAGCTACTACTTGAAAGAATCACTAAACTTATGGATCAGGTTAGCTTCAAGAGGCTGTGCCACACTTGGGAAGCATTGAGGAAGGGAGGAAGGGGTGGTCCTGGGATTCAGCATCACCTCTCAGCCTACTGACCTGGCTCTGAACTGGGCTTAGCTACCCGACATGGACAGGTCACCACTTCTCAGGGTCTTCATTCTTTCCTCTGCGAACTGCAACAATAACATTTAGATGATTCTGAGGTCCCCCTGAGATTGGCAGTACTTCTTTGTAAGGGTGAAGAGGTACTCATAGATGGGGATATGGCAGAAAGTATGTCTGACTTAACTCAGCTCCCAAGGCATTCTTTGAGCTGTACTGTGGAACCCTTTCCCTCTCTCTTTCTGCAAATTAGCGCTTAAGCAATTTGCAAATGGTAATAGTTAATATTCACACACATTATTTGTGAAGATTAATGAGGCTTATAAAATGGTTTTGAGCATTTTGAATAAAAGGAACTCTAAACATGAAATTATATTAATATAACATTTAACATGATCTTTTGGGGGAATAAATCATAGTGTTATGATCATTGTTCTATATATTCTATAATTCCTTGACTGTTTATATCCCTTAGGAAATTTTATTCACTATAGGGTCAGAGCCATTAATGTGAAACAAAATCATTAGTAATGTCACATGTGCCTTTGCACAATGGTTAGGGCTTTATGGGGGAAAATATGTAAAACAGAAAGTGCTAGCATACTTTAAAAAGCAAACACAACATTCTAGTAAAGGAGTTTACTTAATGAAAACAGACTTTCAGCCAAAGAGAAATGTGTAAGAGGGAGGAAAATGAGGAAATTACAGTTTGAACAGTAGTAGTAATGTCACTCTTCCTCAAGAAATAGGCAAATAATATTTTAAAATATGTAGAAATTACCAGTTAGCATATCTACCAGCTTGAGCCCATCTGAGAGAGAAGGAACTAGATTCTGTTTGCAGATAACTAAAAGCTAGAAAATATTTCCTTAAATGAGTTTGATCTGCCAGTAAAGACACTCACTGAAATGATTAAAATAAGATCATCTACACAGACGAGTAGGGCATTGCAGCTTAATTCTTTAATAAAATAGCGACATAGGTAGTTGTACAGTTATTTAGAAATCTTAATTTTATGTACCACTCAAAAAATTATTCATTAGGACACTTGTGTAAATAAGGCACAATATTAAATTATTACATGCACCCTGAAGCTGTGTACATCTATGCATCAATTTTAAAAATTATTTTTAGTTAATTAAAAGGTGCGTTAGAGGAGTTTTGGTAGTGTATGGTAATACTTGGGTGACCTGAATCTATCAAACATGCCATGAGCTGTTTTGAATTGACAGGTTTTCTAACTAGCTGAAAATTAGCACTTTAAGTGGAAGAAAAAATTTATTTGAAAATTTAAATACGTATCCTTGATTTCTTTTTCCTTTTTTTTTTTTTGAGATGACATCTCACCCTCTTGCCCAGACTGGAGTATAATGGCCCAGTCTTGGCTCACTGCAGCTTCTGCCTCCCAGATTCAAGTGATTCTCCTGCCTCAGCCTCCCCAGTAGCTGGGACTACAGGCGTGGGCCACCACGCCTGGCTAATTTTTTGTATCTTTAGTAGAGATGATGTTTCACCATGTTGGCCAGGCTGGTCTCGAACTCCTGACCTTGTGATCCACCTGCCTTAGCCTCCCAAAGTGCTGGGATTATAGGTGTGAGCCACTGTACCCGGCCCGATTTCTTAACCAGTATACCAAACACATCTTTCTTTGATGACCTCTTTTAGTTCACTATTACACATATAATTTATTGGGAGACACTAAAAGTGTAGATGCAAATGCAGAAGTTCATGTGATATGACAGAATCAAATGGTCACTGCCTCCATATGCTTTTTTTTTTTTTGAGATGGTCTTGCTCTGTCACCAAGGCTGGAGTGCAGAGTGCAGAGTGCAGTGGTGTGATCGGACTCCTGGGCTCAAGCAGTCCTCCCACCTCAGCCTCCTGAGTAGCTGGGACCATAGGCACACACTACTACTCCTGGCTAATTTTTTGTAGAGACAAGGTTTCTCCTTGTTGCCCAGTCTGGTCTCAAACCCTCGGGCCCAAGTAATTTCCCCACCGTGGCCCCCCCAAAATGTTGAGATTACAGGCATGAGCCATTACACCCAGCTTCTCATATGCTTTGAATTAGCTTCTAGAGAGGATGCCCTAATAACAGCCAACTTTAGCTTTTTTTTTTTTATTGAGACAGAGTTTCGCTCTTGTTACCCAGGCTGGAGTGCAATGGTGTGATCTCAGCTCACTGCAATCTCCGCCTCCTGGGTTCAGGCAATTCTCCTGCCTCAGTCTCCTGAGTAGCTGGGATTACAGGCGCATGCCACCATGCCCAGCTAATTTTTTGTATTTTTAGTAGAGATGGGGTTTCACCATGTTGACCAGGATGGTCTCCATCTCTTGACCTTGTGATCCACCCACCTCGGCCGGGTCTGACGTGGATACTCTGTCAGGTGTCATCTCCTGGAATCAGTAAGAAGAGAGAGGCAAAGGGCTCTCCTGTGAGCTGTCCTTTCTCTGTGCTTGTCCCCTTTAAGTGTCATACTAATATTCATTTTATGGCTGGGCCTGGTGGCTCACGCCTGTAATATCAGCACTTTGGGAGGCTGAGGCATTGGATTGCTTGAGGTCAAGAGTTTGAGACCAGCCTGGCCAGCATGGTGAAACCCTGTCTCTACCAAAAATATAAAAATTAGCTGCGTGTGGTGGTGCATTCCTGTAATCCCAGCTACTCAAGAGGCTAAGGAGGGAGAATCATTTGAACGTGGAAGGCGGAGATTGTACTAAACCAAGATCATGCCACAACACTCCATCAAGGGTGACAATAGAGTGAGACTCCATCTAAAAAAATATACATTCATTTTATCTTGTAGTGTTGCTAGAACTTTTTGTTGTTTAACTTTTCTGCTCTTCGTATACCCTAGGCTGGGTTTGTTTTTTTGTTGTTGTTTTGCTTTATTTAATTTGGTGTAAATTACAGGTTGAGCATCCCTAATCTGAACATCTGAAATCCAAACTGTTGCAAAATCTGAACCTTTTTGAGTTTCAACATGACACTCAAAGGAAATTCTCCAAAGCGTTTCCAATTTTGGAGTTTCAGATTAGGGATACTCAAGTGGTATAATGCAAATATTCCAAAACTCAAAAAAATCTGGAACACTTCTAGTCCTGAGCATTTTGGATAAGGGTTACTCAGCTTGTACTGTGTTTAATATAGCGTATCTATTACTCTAACTCTTCCTGTAGCCAGTTCATATGCTTCTCCGGGGTGATCTGGGCCCTAAGCTGCCTGCCTGTGATGTGCTTAGAGCCCTGAGGGCTGTTGATGGGGCTTTTGCACACTCATGTTGGCTGTTCTCTTGGGTATTCCTTAACAGTGCTTTCCTCTTCTGTTCATTCTCTTCTTTCGTGTCACCTGTTGCCTTTCTAGCACTCCAGCTTTTGTGTGGAAAGGCTAACCTCTTATAAACATTGTCATTCAGTCAACACTGTAGAGACTTAGCTACGGTAACACATTTGTATCTTCAGCTCATTCAGCTGTTCTTGTGGTACCATTCACAAAAGGAATTTGCAAGTCACCCTTCTTCCTCACTCTACCATCACTCTTTTTTTTTTTTTGAAGATGGAGTCTTGCTCTGTCACCCATGCTGGAGTGTTAGTGGCGCGATCTTGGCTCACTACAACCTCCATCTCCTGGTTCAAGCAGTTCTCCTGCCTCAATCTCCTGAGTAGCTAGGATTACAGGCCTAGCTAATTTTTGCATTTTTAGTAGAAATGGGGTTTCACGATGTTGGCCAGGCTGGTCTTGAACTCCTGACCTCAGGTGATCTGTCCGCCTTGGCCTCCCAAAGTGCTGGGATTACAGGCGTGAGTCACTGCACCTGGCCTCTCCACCATCACTTTATCCTGCCTGTACTCCCCAGTTCCCCCACACCAGTGTTTCCAGATCCAAAGCTGTTTAGACATAGGGTATACAGAAAGTTGTGCTTTTGTTATTTTAAGATTTTAAAGCTCACTTCAATGTAAGGAAGTTAGTAAATGTCTGTGCTATGAGGAAAAGTTGATTCTGAATCGGTTGGTTTAACTCCTGCAGTCTTAGATAAGAACTTGTTACTCATATAAACATACAGTTTCAAAGAAAAAGCTGATTAAAATTATTTATACTTACATAAATCTATGAGTAAGATGAAGTCAAATGAAAGGATTTTGTTTCTGAGAAGAATTTTATGTCTCACTTGCTGTTTCTCAACAATATTGTATAATTTTATTTCTAATTTTTAAAAATAAACTGTCCTTTAACTCCATGGGAAAACAGTTTCTTAAAATTTGTTTGATATTTCTGTGACCCCGTAGCTCAGAAAGGGATAAAAGATTGATAAAAATAAGTGAACCAAAGCATACACTTGGCTTCAATGTATGAAGTATTTAAGTGAGTCTTTCTAAACATTTTATATCATTTGATGGAATTGTAAATCCCCTGAACAAAAAATATTTGGTGGGGAGGACTTTTATGAAAGTCAAAGCAACATTTCTTTTTTCCTATTTCCTGAAGGCTGCTGTTGAAAAAATCTGGTTGCCGAACACCACGGATTGAATTGGAAGAGATGGGACCCTCATTGGATCTGGTTCTGAGGAGGACACACCTGGCATCGGATGACCTTTATAAATTATCTATGAAAATGCCAAAGGCACTCAAGGTATATGACTTAGAGCTTGGTGCCATATTTATTTGTATATTCTACTAATCCTTTTTCTTTCCAAAAAGGATTTGTGGCATATTATACTAAAAGGCAAGACATACATAAAGAAATCAACAAAATAGGTTAAACTAGGGCTCTCAGAGCCAGGGAAAGGAGAGAGAACCAAATAAGCCAACAATAAGGGATAATAAAAAAGAGTTACAAAACCCGGGCATGAGGTTTGGCTGAGTGCTTTCTGATAGTCAAGACTGCTATTTTCAGCAAAAAAAAAAAAGAGTTGTTTGGGACACTGTGAAGACTGGGGATTTAGAGCACAGGGTATATAAACCATATGTGTATAAAATGTGTTTTGACTTTTTAAGTAGTTTTAAAAGACAAGTAGAAATGTAATCTCTAAAATGCCAGTAAAAATTGAAATGATAATCACAACTCCTTAAGCTAAATACAGGATATTTTTTTGATGTGTGTCAGTGGTTAGTGTAGTCTATAGTTTTTTTTTTTAAAATGTGACCTGGCAGTTTATCGGGGAATTATGCAGAATATCAGGCCCTACCCTAGACCTACTGAATTAGGATCTGTATTTTAGCAAGATCCCAAGTGATTTGTATGCACACTTAAGTTTTTTAAAAATTTATTTATTTTTATTTTTTTGGCTGGCATAACAAAATATGCACACTGAAGTTTGAGAAGAAAGGTGTACAACAAGGCTATACATTCTGTGTCATTGAAGGGGTAGGCACTAGTAGAAATTGCTACTAAGATAGTTGTTACAGACTAGGTTTTTACTGGCTCATTATAGTAGAAGGCCATTGAATATATACATATTCTTTTATCATAGCCAAAGAAGAAGAAAAATATCTCCCATGATACTTTTGGTACAACTTATGGAAGGATTCATATGCAGAAGCAAGACCTAAGCAAACTACAAACCAGGAAAATGAAGGGGTTGAAGAAGCGACCTGCAGAAAGGATAACAGAAGACCAGGAGAAAAAGTCAAAAAGAATTAAAAAAAATTGATGGAACTTAGCCAACCACTGCTGTTTCATTGTATTCTACTTGAGAATTGTTAAGTGCCAATCCATTCAGAGTTTCTTACAAGATCTTATTATATATTTTAATAACAGTAATTTTACTATATATTATTATGAACATAATATACTAGTATTAAGTGTAAAGCCTCTTACTTGAGACTTACACCCTGGTGTGCCATTTTCTCTTGTGATATCCCCTGCCCTTCACAAATTCTTCTTTCTCACTGGGTGGTTGAGGAGGCTCTCCAACCATTGGGATTTTTTTGAATTTCTGTCCTTAGCTAAAGAAAGCCACAGAAAGCAGAAATGACCCACAGGAGCTGTGTACACACTCTTAATATGAACTACCTAGAAAATTAACCTCCTCTCCCAACATAGATCTATAATCCCATTTTTATTTTTTACTTTTCTGTTATTTTGCCTGAAATCCTACCAGTTAACATTTGAGATTTTAAACTTTGTGTCTGAAAATATAGATCTCTGAGAGGGGTGTTTACTATCTAATTATTGATACATTACCCAGATTGTTTTAAGAGACTCTTCTACTTACTATCTAATTATTGATATATTACCCAGATTGTTTTAAGAGACTCTTCTACTAAGTAGAGCCCCACCCTGCTTCTCTGAGAGAAAGCCTGTGTTTTTTGGTTTGTTGTTTTTAAGAGATGGGGTCTTTTTCTGTCACCTAGGTAGAGTGTGGTGGCACAATCAGCTAATTGCTGCCTTGAATTCCTGGGCTCAGGTGATCCTTCCGCCTCACTGGAACCACAGGAACTACAGGTGTTAGTCCACTGTGCCTGGCTTGGTAGAAAGAAAGGTTTTTTTTTTTTTTTTTTGGAGATAGGAGTCTTGCTCTTGTCACCCAGGCTGGAGTGTGGTGGCATGATCTCAGCTCACTGCAACCTCTGCCTCTTGGGTTCAAGCAATTCTCCTGCCTCAGCCTCCTGAGTAGCTGGGACTGCAGGCGCTTGCCATCATGCCTGGCTAACTTTCTGCATTTTTTACGTAGAGATGGGGTTTCACTGTGTTAGCCAGGATGATCTTGATTTCCTGACCTTGTGATCCACCCGCCACGGACTCCCAAAGTGCTGGGATTATAGGCATGAGGCACTGTACTCAGCCAGAGAGGTAGTTTTTATAGGGGTAGAAATGAAAAAGGAGGAAATAGGTTAGTTTTAAGGTGCAGGGCACTTTAGGGTACTGAGAAGCCCTAGGTAGCTAAAGGTTGCATGAAGAGCCTGGGTGTTTGCAGATGGTGTAGAAGCCAGCCAAAGCCTAACTACCTGTTCTGAAAGTTTCTTGAAGATAGGCCCTGTGCCTAGGAAAATAGATTTCTTCTTCCTCCTACTAGTGTCGCATACTTGTTTTTCCAGAATAGAGTGTTAAGTTCCTTGATTCAGTCCCTGACAAAGAATCTCCCTTATTCAAGTGCCAGTTATGTTGTAAAAGTACAGACACGCAAATCATAATTTGTTTCATGAAGTAGCAATGCTTTTATTTTTGTCGTTTTTTGAGACAAAGTCTTGCTCTGTGGCTCAGGCTGGAGTGCATTGGCATGATCTCAGTTCACTACAACCTCTACCTCCCAGATTCAAATGATTCTTCTGTCTCAAGCCTCCCCAGTAGCTGGGATTACAGGCGCCCACCACCATGCCTGGCTAATTTTTTGTGTTTTAGTAGAGGCAGGGTTTCACTTCAATTCCGTGTCAGAGAGCTCCTCCATGCCTGTGTGTGCATGCATTTATTTAAGCTTGCTTGGCTACAGAACAATGCTGGCATTAAACAAAAATTCAAGTCTCAGCTTTACCTCTACCCTTCCCCTTCTCTTGTGAACCCATTCCTTAGCTTTCCCTAGTCCTCTCCAGATGGCTGTTATCTCTTGCCAGAAAAATGAGGGTTGTATCTTTTATAGTTTTTGTTTGATTATACTTTTTTTAATTGAAGTGTTCTAGAGTACATGTGCAGAATGTGCAGGTTTGTTACATAGGTATACACATGCCATGGAGGTTCGCTGCATCCATCCCGCTGTCATCTACGTTAGATATTTCTCCTAATGTTATCCCTCCCCACCCCCTGCTATCCCTCCTCTAGCCTCCCACCCTTTGATGGGCCCCAGTGTGTGATGTTACCGTTCCTGTGTCCAGATGTTCTCATTGTTCAACACCCACTTATGAGTGACAACATGCAGTGTTTGGTTTTTGTTTGATTATACATTTAATCAAAGACCATACAGTCTTGTATCTGAATCAGGCATTTGTACTTTATATCTAAATGAGAAGAAAGGGCTAAAATAATTTATTTGCTGCCATCTGCAGGTAGATGGACAGTAGCTGGGGAGAAGCAGGGCCATGAAAAGAACATCAGGAATGATGGATGCATAGTCCTTCCCCAAAGCCTCACTCCTCACTGGTAGGAGGCAAAGCAGTGGGTCCTCCTCACCAGCTGCTTACAGGACCCTGCCATGCCTGGACCCCTCTATCAGGAAGACCTACCCCAGCACTTCTGGAAAATCAGCCAGTCAACCCAGAGACAGCCATGTTTTCTGTATGTGAGATGTCTCAAGGGTGTTTTTATCTGTTTTAGTCAGTAACCCTATTGTTTGAGAGTTAGCAATACATCTGTTTTCTAGGTCATTTCTATGTCTGATGATAGAGAATCTAATAAATATTGGAATGCTTTTGTTTTGCTAATAGTATTACTATATCTATTACTGAAGTTTAACAAAGACTTTTTGTTGAGAAGACTTGTAGTGTTGAACCATCTGTTAACTCTTGAGCCACCATTTATATCACGTTTTGTGGAAAGCACATCTTAATTTTCAGTTGTCCTTAATTTAGAATACAACGTACATAAATTAGAGACCATGTATTCATTTCAATGGAGGTGGTAAATTGCCTGTTTTAAGTTTTACTTAATGTTGTATTTTGATAGATGAGGAAAGCAGTTTGGTTTTTTTGTTTTGTTTTAAATACCAAACTTCTTATATATTTTTTCTTGAATATTAATACTATTACTAAGCTATTTATTATTTCATGGAATTTGTTTTTTTTGTTTTAAACTTAAGTGTTTTTTTTTTTTTGTTATTGAACATAATCCAAAGTAGAGATGTTATTACCTAATTCAAGAAAAGAAATGGGGAATAAAACTTAGCTTTAAGTCAGTTTTCATTTATCTGATTAGCTACTTACGATCTCTTTCCTTTATATTTTTAGCTATTTCAGGCTAAGAAAGGAAGGCTTTAAAATGGAAGAAGTTAAAACAACTAAACATTGCTAAGATCTGAACAACAAAGGAAGGTTTGCTTTTATTGAATTTCAGAAGTTGGTGCTTTGTCCACCATAAAATTAAGAGACAGTGAAAAAAAATACAGGCTTCATTATGTTCTTAATGCACTTTTACTTGGAAATAGTAACTGCGCTTAAGACAAATTCATCCTAGTGTACATACATTATGAAATTATTTAGAATACTGTTCCATATTGATTGAAAGAAGCTATTCTGAACAAGAAGATAAAATGGGCTTGCTGACTTAAGGTGCGTGCTAGCTGTGAGAAGAAAATTAGCTTGCTTGCATTTAGATGTTAATTGTTTGCGTCTCATACCAACAATTCGAGCTGCTCATTTAAAAACAGCAAGGATGTCATTGTGTTTCCTGTGTCATCCAGAGTGTGCCAGTTAGACTATGTTAGAAAGTTTTATTTTGCCATCATTGAATTGAAGCTATTCTGCACTCTTTTTCCATTTCAGAGCTCTTTGGGAAAAAGTTTTTATTTTGTTATTATTTTTTTGGAGACAGGGTCTCACTCTGTCACCCAGGCTGGAGTGCAGTGATGCGATCCTCGGCTCACTGCAACCTCTGCCTCCTGAGTTCAGGTGATTCTTGTGCCTCGGCCTCCCAAGTAGCTGGGATTACAGGCATGTGTACCATGCTTAGTTAATTTTTGTATTTTTAGTAGAGCCTGGGTTTCACCATGTTGGCCAGGCTGGTCTCAAAGTCCTGACCTCAGGTGATCCGCCTGCCTCAGCCTCCCAAAGTGCTGGGATTACAGGCGTGTGCCACTGCGCCCAGCTGAGAAAAAGTTTTTAAATACAGCATAAATACATTGTATTTTATTTATTAGAAACCAGGTGTCATTCTGTTGCACAGGCTGGGGTGCAGTGGTACAGTCATAGCTCACTGCAGCATCAGACTCTGGGCTCAAACGATCCCCTTGCCTCAGCTTCCCAAATACTTGGGACCACAGGCAGGTGCCACCACAGCTGGGCTAGTTTTTTTCTTTGTATTTTTTTGTAGAGACGGTGTTTCACTATGTTGCCCAGGCTGGTCTTGGACTCCTGGCCTCAAGCAGTCCTCCTGCTGCAGCTTTCCAGAGCATTGAGATTACAGGTGTGAGCCACAGTGCCCAGCCCATAAATGCATTTTGATTCTGTTCTTGTTCTTCCATTAAACTTGTCCTTCCTTCCCCAACCCATTTCACTTCCACTCCCATTTCTCTCACACACAAGGAATGAGAAAGTGGGTTCCAAACAGGGAGAAAATGCTAGTTTTGGTTTCATACAAGCTGAGCTTGTATGAAAGAAGGCAGATAAGGGAGAAATGGCAAAGTATCTAGAACTCAGCTGTTAGGGCTTTTGCCAAGCAAAGATCAATGCCCTGAGCTGTAAGTGCTTACAGGCTTGGGATTGATTCCTTAAACTGAAAACCAGACTTCTGAGGGCTCAGACAGAAGCAGAGTGGCAGATGTTGGCTCTGTGAAGCATGCCCTTTCACCCACCTGGAAACAGCTGCACAGGCACCATCTGTGGACACTACATCATCACTGATAGGAAAAGGCACCTGCAAGCAGAGTTAGAGCCGGGCTAAAGTTGAGCGTGTGTTCTGGTAACTCCCTATCCCTCTTACACACTGTACATGAGCTCTGAAAGAGATTCCTGAAAAGCAAAGCACAGCCTATATAATTTCTGCATTTGAAATAGAGTTTGAAGATTCACGTGT